GACACATCCTCGTTCAAGCCTTGATCATCATGGATTTCCTTCTGTCTCTTTCCCCGAAAACGAAGGAGAAATTGGCCGGCAACGCTCAAAATAAATCGGTGATTTACCTCGGCCAGGTTCTTACCGAAGAAGATGTAAGTGGCGGGACTACATCTGTGACAGTTGTAGAGGCAGACTGACATGGAGACAGACGAAATGGGCGACAGAGATGAAAAAGACGATTGTCGACAAGTACCTCAAGCATGGCGTCGACGGTCCGTATTTCAGTCGAATGGTCGAAACGGTTCTTGCCAGAGATAAGAACTGGATTCGTTGGAAATCGGAGAATTGCCCATCAATAGAGTTGCCCGCAGTATCTCCAGAGACATTTGACGAGGCCAAAAAGGCAGCTCAGCGTACAACGACAAAGAAGCGATTGAGGGCCACGCCAATGGGGTCTCTACCCCTCGGTTTCCTGGATGATGGCGATGACGAGCGTGCGATGAAGAAGCTCAAGGCCCCGGAAAGATACAGCTTGCCAGAGCTTGAGAGCTTCAAGGGAAAGATTGCCAACGACGACTTTGAAATCGACATGTCAAACACCCCCCAGGAAAAAGCGCCTTTTATTGAAAGCAAAGCGAGTAAGAGTTGGCGCGCCCTCCGGATAGCAGGCAAATCAAGGTTGGCCTCATTCGACAAGATCGACGATCCGGAAAAGATCGATGCCATCTTTGAGGAACCGGTCGATGTAGACGAGAGCGAGGCTGCCGAGGAAACCGTAAAATCTGAAGACGTTCCCGAAGACAAGCGCCCAATCATATTCTCAGGACCGCCCGGTGCAGGGAAAGCGACGCTGTTTCAATTACTCGCAAGCCGACGTCCTGGAGCTTTTAAATACGTGCCACGGCATACTACGAGAAAGGCACAAGAAGGCGAGGCTGAGGGCAAAGACTTCTACTTCGTTGAGAAACAGGCCTTTAACATGCTGAGAGATGGCGATGCGTTATTGGAGTTTACCACGATAGATGATGTGGACTATGGCACGAGTCGGAAGGCTTTGGAAGCGGCTGTCGAGGGAGGCAAGGTCCCAGTCACCTACATGGATAGCGAGGTAAGACATCTCCATCCTCTCCCAACTAAGACTGAAATTTTACTCACCGAAATGTAGGCTATCCAACAAACTCGCGACCTTGGCTACTCGGCACGGACAATTCTCATCTTGCCACCCAGTAAGGAAGTTTTGGAAGAACGCTTGCAAAAGGCAGAGAAAGGCGATTTGGTTGCGGACGCCCTTAGCAAAGCTACTCCCTACTGGGAAGAAGATTCGAAGGTAAATGATGGGTTTGATTTGGTTCTGACCAACGAGGAGCTCGAGGCCACTTTCAAGACGCTGGAGGAACACATCTATGGCAAAGCCGAAGATGCCGAGCTCAGCAATGGCAAACCAGAGAACGAGGCAGCGGTAGATGAAGCGGACATTGTCATGGATGATGCTCCGGTAGAGGCGCCGCAAGAAACCCAGGAGTCTCAAGAAGCTCAGGTGGCCGAGGAGACCGAGAAGACCGCAGAAGCACAAGAGACAGAAGAGGCCAAAGAGACAGTCGAAGAGGCCAAGGCTGACGAGGCAAAGGAGGCGTCCTAGAGAGGCAGGTCTCCAACCAGCGTCAGCCGAGAGTGTAGGCGCGCCCCTTCACCCAGACCAGCAAATTGGCCAATACTTGGGACTAGATATTGGTAGAAATTCATGATACCCAGTTTTTCCAATCAGCTCATCAACGGCTCCGTCTCTGCCAAGCGTGAATGGACGATAAAAACCCAGAGGCGACATATCATTTACATCGCCTTGATCTTTCCATACGATGGCCCGGATGCACGGCGACAAATACTGGCTGTCTTCGATATGCAAGAACCATCTGGATGCCTGGTGGCATAAGATGTCCTTGCCACAACACGAAAGGAGGCCGGTCCTCAACATTAATACTAAAGTGGTAAACTATCTCTGTCCATCATCCGGGCAAGATCTATATACATCATCCCGAACCCGAACGCTGACATCTCGCATAATTCCACATTCTCACCCTCCCAGCAGCCATGCTAAGGCCCCTGAGTAACAGCAAAAATGTTGCCCAAAAGCCCCTTGAACTTGGCATTCCGCCAATCTTTCCACTCGTGATCCATGGCACCCCACGTCTCGTCGAAATCAACCACCTTGTTCCGCACATAATAGGACCCCTGGATCGCCCACAACGCCCAATCCGCGTCATTATCCTCGAGATAGCCTACAAGGCAAGTCAAGTACGCGTGCTCCTCGGCCGACAGCCCGTCCTCGCTCCCGCCCTGCATGGCAGCCCCGAACTCGGACATGAACAGCGGGCCGGTGTACCCTTTGCCCTGCTCCAGCACGAAGCCGAACAGGGCGCCGTACTCGGCCTTTTCAACATTGCAGTCTCCGAAATTTGGCGTCGTCACCGTGAAGCTGTAGCTGTGCGCCTCCCAGACATTCTTCCCCTTCCATGCGCCGGTGTCGAGGTTCTTCGTCCGTAGTGGGGTGAAATCCGTGGCCGAGTTCAGCCCGCCGACGATGACGAGCACGTCCGGGTTCGCCTTGTGGACGACTTTGGCCCCGCGCGTCACGTAGCCGTACCACTGATCCGCGGCAAAGGGAATCTGCGTCCAGGTGGCGCGCAGCTCGTTGCGGATGGAAATCGCCGCGACGCCCGGTCTGGTCTTGGCCCAGAGGCTCATCTGCTGCAGGCCCGCGAGCCAGTCGTCCGTGTCGAAGAAGCGCGAGTTGGCGGCCCAGTAGAAGCGCGCGTCCTTCCACCAGCCGTTGCCGTCGTCGAGGTTGCAGCACCAGGAGGCTTTGCTGACGTGGTTGTCGAGGATGGTCATGATGTCGCGCTCCCAGAGGACGTCGATGACTTTGCCAAAGACGTCGCGCTGCGTTATGTTGCCGTCGGCGAGGAACGGGTTTTGGACTAGGGCCTGGTCGTACAGCTTGAGCAGGTCGGCCTCGGGCACGCCGGCTGCTTTGGCGCCGTTGACGAAGGAGTCGCGGACGGTGATGCCCGGGTTCGTGGCGTGGTCCGTCGAGAAGGTGAGGCGCACGCAGTTGAAGCCTTGCTGCTTGATCCAGTCGGCTAGGTACTCTATCGGCTGCTTGTGGAGGCCCTCTGGGAGGTTGACTTCCATGTGGCCCGCCCAGTTGATGCAGCGGAGCTTAACCCGGGCGTTGGACGAGTCTGTTATCCAGCGAGATGTTGAAAAGAGGGGGAGCTGCGGCTTTTGGGCGAAGACGGGGAGGATGAGAGACCAGACGGCCCAGAGGATAGGGATCGACCTCATTGTTGGTCGATTTTCTGATTTGGCTGGTATTAAGACGGTACTCTGACGATCGCGGCGGAGTTATATCGTCCTACGAGTTGGCTTCTGCCTCTTGATCACTATTATCGTGTGTCGAAATATGGATATTAGGCAAATCTCTAGTTTTCTCGAAGCGTCATCAAGTCAGACAACCCGGGGATGGCCAACTCTTGGTGCTGATAAGTAGCCCAGAAGCAGACTGAAACGAGGAATATGATACGCGCGGGGCAAACGTCAATCAGATATGAAGCATTCTGGTCTGCCAGCTCAAGTACGCAGAAAGTGTCGGAATAGTCCACGAGGACGTCGTAATGGAACCTTGAAGGAGAGCAGCTGAGGGAAACCCCCAAGAGACAGAAGGGCGACTGACTACCTGCAGGTCCAACAGAAACCAACGATACAACCCTTCGGGCAGAGAAAGAGCTCGTCCTGCTCGCAGTGAAAGGTGTGGGTGAACGATCGAGATAAAGTCATTCAAAAACACGGCCGAGGTGATAGCACGCGACCTTTAACTGACCTACCCTATATATCATTGCTCGTAAATGCCCAGGCCGCCCAAACAGAAGTGCGAGTAGAGAAGAAGTCGCCTCCCTAGTGGAAGGGGGCCTCCATCTGGAGAGATTTCGTCCATACGGAGCATCGATCAATCACATCTGTCAACAGCGCTTCTCTGAAGATGTAGAACTTCGGACGAATAGAGTCGGCGCAGTATACCGAGCCCAGGCTCTCCTCGCGACAGGGTTGTATCCCATCTGTCACTATAGGAAAAGACAAAGCAGCCGGAGAGCCAAACAACCCATGAACACCCCTATACTCGACTGCAAATAAACAACACATAACTACCTACTCTCAAAGCAGTGCCTCAAGTTGTTGATCCAAACCATCGCAGAGCCAACAGCAGAGAAGAAGCGTGCCGAGACCTCCTTCTCTTCGTCAGGTCCCCCCCGCCATAGACAGGGGTAAGCCGTTGCTGGACACATGGCCGTTGCGGCGTGTGATTCGCCTGTCTCGGCCAGGAACGGCATTTGCCATGCAGGCAATTCACAAGGTTACGATATGTTAGGGTGTTGTCGAAAGAGTCAAGGGAAAAGCTCACAAGCGAGAGCTTAGAGGAAAGGTGTGGGTGGCATTGAAACGTGCAGAAGGCCCGTAGACTGAGAAGGAACCGGCGGCGGAGGTGAGGTTGGTGTGGCCGGGGCGCGGCGCGATAGGACCGTCCGATAAAAGAGGGTCCACGTCACCCGACCGGGGCTGGAGCTGGACAACACTAACAGAGGTCTGAGCTGTTTGCGCCACTCTCATTCGCCACACCGTTTTTTTCTTCGCGTCCCCTCCCCCCCTTCCTAAGTTCCCCCTCATAATTCTTAGTGCCAAAGCCCTCCCACCTCCAAAAGTTGGAGAATTAATTTCTTCAGCGCCATTGGTCAACTTCAGCCAAAGCGGTCATTAAGTCAATAACACCTGCCTGGTCTGGCTTGCCGTGGGAGTCTGCTAGATCCTGTGTCACAAGAGGAAATGAATGACATGCCAGTGACCTAATGGGAATGATCATTTCTTGACATTCCTGTCGTTCAGGGGGCGTTCGCCTGCGCAACACTGGCCGGTCTAAGCACAGAAGCCTTCGCATCACTCACTGAGCGACAATGGCAAACCTAGAAATGCAGTAGAATATGTATTCATTATTATCGTCACTCGTAACCCGCCTCCTCATATTGAGAAGGCCAGCAGTCAAAGTCTGCCCATAGTATCACACTAAGGTAGGGTATACTGAAACAAAGCGGTTGGTTGGTAGGCTTCTTTTCCCCCAGAGTAGCCTGGCTTTTCCATCTCGTTCTCCCAAGAAATGCACCAGTGCCCGAGTCGTCGTCCTTTCGACACTTGACCGGACCTGCAGCTGAATAGCAAAAGCTATTAGCAAGCATTTTCCTCCGCCTCCTCGACTCTGTAGAGTCCCAAATAAATATCGTTGCGTCATGCTTCGTAAACAAAAGAAAGAAAAAAGGCTATGGCAAAACTCCCGCTAAAAAAGAAAATCGTGTGGGTTGCCTAGTAATGACATGCAGCTTCATGCCGCATTGGTAGTGGGCTGGTTTCCTGCTGTAGGACCCCGCGTCTCGAGCTCTCGTCTCTTGGCGAACAAGCTCTTGAATGCGCCAAGGCAATGAATCAAAGATTCTTCGTCGTGGGCGCAGAATCGATAGCTCTTTTCCTCTGTAATGAGCTGCAGACAGTGCTTCTTGGTCTTGCTGACCGGGTCAATGTCAACCACATTAACTATTGCCGACATTGGTCGAATAAACTGCGCCGTGTACTCGGACTCGTCCTTGTAGAGAATAAAATTTCTTGGCCGGAGCACACCCCAAAGGTTCTTCCATTGCTTCACGCCGCCCTTGCTGCGGAGGAACCACAGCCAGCCCTGCCAGATGACGCGATCCGGATCTTGCTCAATATTGAGACCGCTGAGTTGGCTCGCATTACGGTCAAGACCTGGCCGTTCCTGGGTGCCTTTGCCTGGCGACTGGACCGCCAGGTCCTCAATGGACATGCCCTGTATCCTTTGAATCTCGTTGTCCGAGAAGTCTGAATGCGAGGCGAGTTCGTTGCCAGAGTACCCAGCGGTATCCGCCATCTGCGATGGACGTCGATGGGTTGAGCCAACAAAGCGCGGCACTGGAGGTTCCAGCGGCTCGGGAGAGCTTGATCCAAGCCTTTCGGTTCGTGCCATGTCTCCAGCCTGAGCGGATCTGCCAACCACAAGGTAGGATTGCCGCTTGCCATTCGGGCTGGCAAGGAGCAGCTCATCATGTTCCTCTTCAATGCGGGCATGACTCCTAATCAAATCCACCCATTCCTCTGCATCGTGGCTACTGCTAGCCTGGAAGTGGTAGTTCCTCGCTGGCGAGAAGAGTCCAAACACGTTCTTTCTCTTGTTCTTGGGGTCCTTGAGCAAAGCAACAGCGGTCAAGTCGGCAAGGTACAGCTTGTGTCGCAGCTTGTCCTCCTTGTCGGATCGGTAAATTGAGAGTGAATTGGGTCGGAGGACGAAGTAAATTGACTTCCAAGTCTATACAATTGGTCAGAAATGGTCTTCAAGCGTAATTGGATACGGGCCCTACGAACCTTTGTCTTCTGCGTGCGCTTCTGCAGGTAGCCGCTCTTCACAACACGGTCGAACTCGAAACTGCCGTTTTGATTAACGGGCGACGAATAGGTGTCCAGGGCCAAGCGGCTTCGAAGTCGAGAATTGGGATCGGTGGGGAGAGATATCGAGGATGGTGGAATAGTGACGTCCAAGCTTGGTGCTGGATGCGGCGTAGGCAGCTGAATCTGCGACTGGGCCATGGTCGTCATGACGAAGATATTAATTCGTATCGTGTGGTTGTGGGTGTAAGTAGGATGGCGGTCGCGTAAAGTCGCACATTAAAGAGATTCCCGTGCAAAAAGTCCGTCCGGGGAACGATACGACGGTGGGCGGAACGGGCAAGGACGCAAAGTTGCCGAAGAACGAGAGACTTGTAGAAAATGGCGGCGGCGGGTGAACAAGCGATGCGACTAAAGCAGGCAGTGCCGGCAGCCTTGGGCCTCCGGGTATTAGTCCAGGTATCCGTAAGTAAGGTAGCCAAAGGATTTCTGCAAGGTCAAGTCGGGTGTTGGACGAGGCAAAAAGAAGTCGAGGTGGCTGGAAGTGGATATACCGAGTGGGAGTCGCGCGTCGGTGGTGGCTCTATTATCGTGCCCTTGCTCGATTGCCGTTGTAGTTTTGCTGGGACCGACTGGGGCCTTGTTTATGCTGATTGCTGCCCTTGCGAAAACGAGAGAAGGACCAGAAAATGTGTTTGGACACAAACGTAAACGGGAAGAAACGAGTGTGCAAGGCGGGTCGAGACGGGTCGCGCGCGTGCTGTGGAAAGGGGGGGAGCAGAGAAGGAGAAGAAGGAGCTTCAGCGTTGACTCCTTTCGCACGGGCGTGTCGTGTGTAAATGTCTTGTGCCGGGGGGTTGAGAGGTTTGGTATTTGAGTGGTGAAACTTGGGATGCCAAGGAAAGGAGACGAATCTCGAGTTTGAGAGGCAAGTGATGGCAGCAAAGGGATGAAGAGCGCTGTGTAACGGATGGGGGGGTCGGGTAGAGCGGTATAGTGTTTAATAAATAAATGGAATGTCAAGATGCGGTGAGGGTCGGTGGGCTTCGCAGTATGATAATGTAGTACCTATGTATCCGTAGCGCCGTGTCAAATACCTCTCAAAAGAGTGACGGAGTCAAGCCGTAAGCCTGATGCAGTGTGGTGGAATTGACGACAGATCAAGTGCCGGGTATTTACTCAGCGGGGTGCGAGATGTGATGGAAAAGCCAAGGCGTGGAGGAAGAACCTGGAGCTATGGTACGACTCCAAAACGAGAGAGTGGAAGAGGAGAAAGAGGAGAGGACCAGACGGGATGTACGGGAGACGGGAGTGAGTTGACAATGACGATGCCGAAAGAGCTCCAATGGCGGTGACGAGTGACGGGACAGCTACGGAGACATTGGACGAGTCGAAAAAAGTCTGGAATTAACAGTCTCGGCCCCAAGCCAAGCTTGGTGGTGATTATAATTGCAGTGGTGCCCGTCAGAGTTAAGCTTTGAGGGGAGGGGCGCTGATCGGCACAGCGATGTCGCAGGAAAAGAAGAAGCAGGGCGCCTTGCATCAAGCTTGAGAGAGAGATCAGAGGCGCCATCTGAAGGTGGACGAATGGGCGCAGAGAGGACAAAATTAGTTTGTGGAGTCCCTTTTTCTTTAATGCATTGCAGTGGCATTGGACCATTGGTACCAGGTTGGCACTGTTGATGAGATGATATTGCAATGAGACTTGTAAGGTACCTCTTGTCCCAGGGGCAGAGATGGGGACTTTGGATGTAGACGGTACAAGTATCTTGTGTTATGCTTACTGCGTTTCTCTTGCTGTTTTGATTATCATGTACAACCACCTAAGGTAATCAATGCTCAATTCAGGTACACCCGAGTGGGATCATCAAAACAATAACTGGTCAAGACCCCACGGGCAGAACACAAAGAAGCGCAGCGAGTTGCAGGCGCGCGCATTGCACTGGGCCACATCTCCTAAAGTGCCTCATGGGGCTTGGTGAGGGGTTCTGCGGAGAGGACTCCAAGTCAGCTCACCAGCTCCCATTTGAGTGGTTGACGGTGTCTGAAATCAAAGAAACAAGAGCAGCCCTTTAGGAGGTGACAGGCTTGGGTGACAGGGAAGAGGTGGTCGGGAATCGAGGGGATACAAGGGAAATGGTCATTGGCGCATCTGAGCGCTTGAGCGTACCTGCTACAGTACGTGAGTACTTGCTGTATGGAAAGCGTGGAATACTTACAAAAGGTGTATGCATATGCCTGACTCCCGTCTCTTGCCCTATATGTACAGTAAGCCTTTTGCTTGTCGGCTGAAGGCATCAAGAACATTCAGGTGTTTGTATCCGTACTTGGCTCCTAGGTACAGACACTGCAGAGCCTCAGGCTCCTTCAAGTACCTTAGAAAGTACGACTTTTATCACCGTTATTGGCTAAAGTAATAGTGGCGGGCCAAGAAGTGGGTGAAGCACTGAGCGACCAGCACCGCCCCGTTTCACCCCCGAAGCTGTTTGATCGAGTGGTTGGGATGCAACTCCAAGTCTCCCAGTCTCCGCCTGCCAGCCATTTGCCAGACAGCAGCAGTGGACTACGGAGTACGGGGTACGGAGTAGACGTTGGAAAAGTCAGGAACGTCCTGAATCATTGGATAATGGACAGGTAGTAGAAAAAGGGGTAGGTCGCGACCGCCGTCTCACTACAAACGCTTCTGCGGCCCTACCTGGACATTCTGGATCGCTCGGCTGCATTGGCCATTCACTGTTTCCCATGTGGGTCACCTTTCTGTTCCAAATAGAAGAATCTCGTCCCATCTCAATGCCTGACTCCCTGACTCCCTCGTGCCATGTGTGATGCAAGACCGAACTCGCGACTGTTGCGTTTTGCTTTCCCCAGCACTTTGGTTTCTGACGGTCCGAACATGTGCCCAAGTCTCCATTTCTTTCCGTTCCTGAGTTTTTGCGTTAGACTTTATTCTGACGCTGCTATCCGTACCTTGTACTCCGTACATCACAAGCAAATCACTTTGATAGGCAGGTCGCTTGCTGGACACAATTAAGAGCTTGCCTAAACTTTCTTAGCTGGATATGGATAGGAGAACAGAAATCACACTACGCCCAATGCTTTCTTCAATTTAAACAAGATCCGAAGCGCGTTATTTTTTAGGCGCCCAGACTTGGCCTCAACCTCGTCGACCGAGCGCGCTTAGGCGTCACACGTCCGTGGTCTAACTGCATTCTATTTCTCTTCTATTTACAAGCCCATTGCCCATGCACAACATGCGGTCCGTCACCTTTCAGTTCATCTGAGTAAGCTGGAGATACGCTCATATCCACTACGCACCAACGTCATGTTCTAGCTTTAATAGTTGCCGCCCTTCCAACTCACGCAAAGCAGTCCCGGTCCCCTGCCAAGACTACATGATGTGTGAGCGCGGCTCCGAGACGGATCACCCTGATATCCCGCCATACCACGTCCCATCCGCTCGGTAAAGAGCTTTCAGAGCTATTCGCAGGTGTTCTTTCCTAGTCGAACTTGTTCCGGAGCATACCTCCGCCACGTTGATTCCTCTCCAGAGCCGCCCACAGTATCAATTCATCGGGAAGAGCGGTGAGGTGCTCAGATAAGCATGTTCACTCACGGCTTGTCGAACCGTTCTTCCGTGGCGCTCAACCCCCAGTCAGATCAGGATCTGGCATATGTTAGTGTCCAAGACCGGTGCGGCCCGGTGGTTGGCCGCTTGTTCCCTTTTATGCTGCTGTAGCTGAATTCGAATTGGAACTATCCAACCACCCAATTTCCAGTGGGTCATCCGTTTGTCCCGACCGAGACTAGGTACAGTATTTCAAGCCGTCTCAAGCCAAGTCGAAAACCACCAATGGGCTCTGGTGAGACTGTAATTTTGACCTGCAGAGGTCAAGGGCCGATTGACAAGAGACTGGGGTTTGGAGTTGCATGTGTCGTTTGATCTACTGGCACTGCCAAGGGGAACTACTGCTGTTCCACTTCCTCCCGCTGCCCTTCGTTGCCTTCTTCCATCTCCTCCTACCTCTAAATTGCACAGAAGTCATTTCTAGCGTGGAGAATAGGTGGTTTCGACTACCTCTCGGACCTAGCACAGTGGTCAGCAACGCCATGACCTCTGTTTACATCCAGAAAGGCATAAAACATCCTAGTCGTTGATGACCATTTGGACACTTACATGATCAGCCATTGTCGCAAGCATGCCGAGGTCGTTGGTAGTGGTTGGCGTTGTTTGACCTGGGATACTTCTTCTTTCATCAGGTCTTTCGGTGAGTGTAAGTGGTGGATCACATCACATGTCTCACAGGACAGCTTACCGTATTTTTAATTAGGCGCGGCGCCCTTATAGTCCAAGGTCCTATGATATATACAAGTTATCGAGAACGTCGGCCTCGACCTCAGCATTGCGAGACTCGGGTCTTTTTCTGTAATGCTCGCTTGGACAAGAGCTCGTCTAACGCGAAAGCCCAAATTCGTGTGCCCGTTAGAGAACGAAGTACTCGAATATTCATTGACACTGGGATGGTCATCTCGGTGAGCAAGCAAGCCAAGCTGAGGGTAGAACTCTGGATTAGACCATGATCGGACTGCCTTTTCCGCGCTTGGTGTATAGTGAATGCTTTATTGCAATAACTTGAATTTGTGGTAGAAGGTCATTCAAGGTGGAAGAGGCAAGGCATAGTGCCGGTACGGGACATCCATACATTTTGTGATACTCCAGGCGAATAATTGTTCGTGACAGGCAGCAAAGCAATCTAGTAAATGGGTGACTTGGTTCGATTTCTCATTTGACGGTATCTTTCGAGGTCTACGGGTTTCGCGATTCGATGAAAGGCATTGAACTTCACGCCGAGTGAGTCATCTGTTCTTTAGCTGCAGATTGCTGCTGCCCTGTAATTCAACCTGTCCTGTGGAAGCGACGCCCGATCAATTTGTTGGAAGACAACGAAGGGAAAGGGCGGTCCCAGCGGTTTTCGAATAAATCCCGTCGTTTCCTTGGTTCATTACTCGAAAGTATTTCTGTGATTTCTTGAACTACCTCGTGTGTGACGCGAACTTCACACCCCTCATTCTCCAAACCGGCGCAGACATCGCAAGGTATCCCCGCTTTCCCGGACAGGTGACAAAACTGGTCATATTGAGCTTCGGCCGCAAATCCCACAATTGCGATGGCAGACGAAAGCACGTCGGATCGTGTGCTTCGTGAGGTCAAGGCGGAGTTGGCCGGTACGCCATACTCCTTCGAGTCTGCCCGCCTCCTCAGTGGAGGAACAACGAACTTCATCTTTCATGTGAAGCTGCTGGTGCCGCTGCTCGATGGGACTGCAGAGGTGGCTGTAAAGCATGGCGAGGGCTTCGTGGCCCAGAGTCCCGATTTCAAACTCACCACGTCAAGATGCGTGAGTCCCTATATCTTCGACCATGAGGACATCAATGGCTGACCTCAGGCAGCGGATCGAAGAGAGCTGCTTGAAAGATCTCTCAGCACTTTCACCACACGCCAGTGAGAATACCACCGTATCAACTCCGAACCTGTTCTACTTCAATGAAGAGACCAATACCCAGGTTCAAGCATACCAGCCAAGCCCACTCAGCCTCAAGAACTATGCAATTGAGTACTTCGCAGTGTCGACTCTGGAGACGCCAACCCTGGAATCAGTCAAGTCACTATCCCTCAAAATTGGTACGGCCGTGGGTGCGTGGCTTCGGTCATTTCATGACTGGAGCAACTCGGAACAACAGCTCAAGTTTCGCGATATCGCAGCGGGAAACAAGGAAATGCAAACGCTGAAGCGATGGATGAACTATGAACGGCTCCCCAGTTCCATCACGCGATTTCCAAATATTCTAGGGGATTGTAAGAATATCTTTGCAGACATCGTAGATAGCGTGAAGGAGGAAATGGTAAACGAGCAAGCCCTGCAGGTCATCCACGGTGACTTTTGGACCGGAAAGTAAGCTGCCCCAATCACTTACATTCCAATAATACTACTAACAACTTACTAGCATTCTTCTAGAGGGAAAACCTTGGGATGACGAACATAACCGCCTTCTTGTCGTCGATTGGGAGATGTGCCAACTTGCAGTCAAACCTCTTGACCTAGGCCAGATGATTGCGGAACTATACGAACTGAAGCTATACAAAGACATGGAAGCGGGAGTCTGGTTGATCCAAGGTTTCGTCAATGGCTACGGCGCAGTGGATGACGACTTTGCCTTCCGAACACTACTTCATGTTGCTGTTCATCTCATCGGGTTCGGCACAACAGTGCAAGGATGGGGCACGCAAGACCAAGCGAGAACAGTGGCGACTGAGGGCAGGGACATTTTGAAGAATGCTTGGGCGAAGAACCGCGGGTTCTTTGAGCAGCATCCCCTAGGCTGCATCTTTTCATAAGCCGAGTTGCGTTCAACTAGCATCTCGTTGGGGCGGGATAGGTTACTTAGTTCTATATGATAAAAAATTCGGACTTTTGACGCCAGTTTTGTTTTTCGGGCACGATGACATAGGATATAACATCTCGTAGGTATATAGTTCATCGTCTTCTTCCTCATTTTTCATTACGGAAGGTTGAACACTGTTTTCTTTCACACGAAAGGATGTGTATGAAGAGATGAGAACGACGTCAGTTGCCTAAAACATGATGAACTTGAAGATACCTTGGTCAAAGAATGAAAAATGTCTAATTAGAAAGCCTCGGTATGCTTGCTTCATTCGTTGACTTCACAATGGATGTTGGGTGATTTTCGTGGGGGTGATGGAGAAGGATGAGTTCAGCCAGGAAAAATTCAAACTACACACACCAAAGAAAGTGTGAGTCTGAGTCAACTTTGGTGGCGGAACCTTTCTCTCACTTTTCATCATCGACAACAAACTACTGCAACACCCCCTTGGACACTTATGAGGCCATAATAAAGTATACAATACTCATATTCGACGACAGTCTGAATTTTACTGCTTTGAAACTCAATAACTACACCTGAGCCGCCCTAGCACTTTGACGTCACTCATTGCGGCCCGACCCGCCGTCATGAGCAGCAACACGGAACCTCGCCCATGTAGGCGATGCAAGACACCGACCGTCTTGAAAGTGAGAAAGGATCCTCTTTGCGAGTAAGTACTCTCACATGTACATGCTCCATGCCCAAATTTATACAGAGTTAACCAACACGCGCAGGACTTGCTATGAGCAGCATATCGTCCAAAGAGTCGTGAAGCGCCTCGCCCAGCCATACCGCGATGTAAAGGACAAGCTGGGCACTACCCCCGACGCAAGAGCAAAGTACCTCCTCGGCCTCTCTCTCGGCCCCTCCTCGGCCTCCTTGGTCCAGGTGCTCGACAAGAACCTCCAAGGTCTCAAGGACAAGAACTTGCGCGTCGCGTACGAGGTGCACGTCGTCCACATCGACACCGACCTGTCAAACGCCGCAGACGCCGCGACCTCCTCGTCGTCGGCAAGCCTGCTCTTTGAAAAGTATAAGGAGCAGTTCCCCAACCTCTCGATGCAGATCGTTCCGCTGGCCGACGCCCTCAAGCTGGACACGATAGACTGGTCCGTCCTTCCCGCCCTGCAGCCCGGCCTCGCGCCCGCGCAGCAGCTCAGCGGCCTCCTCGAGGCCCTGCCGTCCGTCACGTCGCGGGTGGACATCATGAGGCTCCTGGTGCGGAATCTGCTGCTATCGCTGGCCGTGGAGAGGGAGTGCCACGCGCTGCTGCTGGGATGCACCACGACCGCCCTGGCCGAGCTGACGCTCGCCGAGACGGCCAAGGGCCGCGGGTTTGCCGTGCCGTGGCAGGTCGCCGACGGCCCCGTCCCCGTCACGACATTCTCCCGCGTTGGGGAGGGACAGAGCGCGGAGGGCGGCGAAGGGGCTGTCCGGGGGACTGAGAAGACGATGCTTCCAGTGTACTACCTCCTTCGAGATATTTTTAGGCGAGAGGTCATCACGTATGCGGGCCTGATACCGTCTTTGAAGGATCTCGCCCAGGAAGTGGGACCAAGCAGCAACGCAGTCGTCTCGCACAAGGAGCTCAGCATCGAGGATGTCATGGCGCGGTACTTTGAGGAAGTGGAGGAGAGTTATCCCTCCGTCGTCGCCAATGTCGTTCGCACCAGCGGCAAATTAACACGAGAGAGCGATGGCGATGCGTGCGCGGTCTGCGGCATGGATGTGGACGCACAGGGAGATGCCCGGTGGAAGGGTGAAATAGGAGAGGATATTGACGACAGCAGGAAGCGCACCGCAGGGAAACTTTGTTATGGATGCGAACGGTCTATATATGGATAGATCGAACAGAAAATGCACGTTCAAAGCACCTTCACCGGCCGGCCTCTCTGGCGTGACCCTATCCTGCCTCACTACATTCCTAGCCAACCCCCCCATATGTTCTCTAGAAGCCGATCCCCGGCTCGCGACATTTCCACCCTGTCTACCCAGCTCATTTTTAACTCCATATATGCAAGGAACGCTGATTTAATAGGTACAAGATCAATGGTTGATCACGGGGTCTGGATGGTGGCCGAAGGCAGGATGCGGTCTTCGAGCTTTCTCATCAGCTTGTTTGTCTGTTCCGCCAGGGTCAGGGTAAGGATGGTGTGGGGGAGGATTCTAGCCAAGTGAGGCAGGAAACCCTTGTAAATAGCCAAGAAGCCTTCAGTGCGGACAGTCTTGGCCAGGCAGTCAAAGACACCCTTGTAGAGGTTTCCATTTTGGTTATACAGGCGAGACATGATGGTGTCTGCCATGAGGATTAGTACAGAACTATGCTTCGGGGAATCTTGAGTTGAGACTTACCAGGAGGGTGCATCACGCAGCAAACGACGAAACCACTGACGGTACTGCTAGCAAGATGCAGAGGCAGACCCTCTTCCATACCCAAGTGGCGGACCAGTCTCCGCTTGGCGAAGAAGTAGGTGGGAAGCTGCACGGAGCTACCGAAACCCGTCCTGATCATGGCCGCACCAACACCACGGTAGAGTCCCCGAATGCCTTCGGCGCCGTAGATTGAGGTCATACCGTTCCAAGCATTGCGGTACTTATGCTGTGTGCCAGTGGGCATGAAGGGAGAGTAGCTTTGTAACCGTGTCTTGACAAGGAAGAAAGGGCTGCCAGCGGCGGCTCCCATGATTCCTGATCCAGCACCGCAAGCCATGTTGATGCCCAGGCTCTGCGTCTTGCCGTCCTTGAAGATGAGAGTCGACAGGGTTTCGCGCATAGGCTCGTAGAATCCAAGACGGCATCCATTCAACAGGACCTGGTAGATGTACGCGCAGCCGATACCGCGGTAGATTCCTTTCACGCCCTCATTGCGCACGATAACAGAGACACCCTGCAGAGGGCCTCTGTACTGATGCGGCTGGTGTCCCTTGTCCTTCAATTCTCCTTGCAACTGCATTCTGCACACGTCGGGGGGAGGGGTCAGCGCGTTGCCGGCGGCAGGGAGCGGGGAAGGAGCGAGCGTCGTCGCTATCAGACGCACCGGATCTTGACAGTCTCGAAAGGATGCGTGGCCGTTACAGCGCCGCAGGCGGCAATGCCGCCGGCGATGAAGGCGCTGTTGCGAAGGTTAGCTTCGCTGGTCTTGCGGATGCCGAACTGCGGGCCATGACTTGCCCAAGGGTTGTTGACATTGTGTCAATTGGTCTTGTCGCAGAGTTAAGAGATAATTGGGTATCGTCGATGTGTAAGATGCTGGTAATTTGTGGTTGCGACTCCTATGATAGTCGGGGTTCGTTTGGAAGGAGAGAAAGAGAGAGAAATAGAAAAGAGTGACACCGCGATCTCGGAATGCTAGTACCTAAAATGACGGAACAGCGCGGGTCAGCAACATTGACGTCGTGGCAAGTCGATAGCCAGTCAACATCGACTCTTGGGCAGATTCTTACATAGCCTGCTCGTCGAGAACCCGTTCGCCGTAATGCGCGCAACTCAAGAGAGGAAGTTGGCGATGTGACTGCGATATGGATTGAGTTCCGTCGGGCTGGCACTGGATTGACGTGACTGGATTGACTCTTTTACCGGGGCTACAGGTCTACAGGTCTCTCAGTAAGCTCCGCGCGCGGAAGAGAAATTGGGATTTTTCTTGCTCAAAGTCAATATGGCCGTGGATAGCCATTGCCGATCCCGGCGTCTGTAGGTCCCAATTGGCAGGGTTCGCGGGCCACAGCGGCCTAAGTCGGTTTTCGGTACCCCAGACCCTGTCCAAAAAGGGGGGCGTCAATTTAGCTGGCCCATTGCCGGGACGCCAGTTTCCAATGCGAAGTCGCGCATTGTCAACGATGGGAGGCTGGCAATTACAAGGTGTGGCTGAGAACCTTCCTCGGACACGCCAGGGGTGGTCTAAGAACTGTGGCACAGTTAGCTTTTCCATTACCACAACCCCGCGAAACTGAATTGGGGAAGCTCTTTGGTTTCCTCCAGTCGCATCGCATGACAAGACGCGGTCTGGTTTCCCGTTCACAGATTCAAACCTGCAGCAACCTCAGGACGACTGCACTTATTCACACACATTTTGAAGGAACTTGTCGAGTTCTGCCGCACAGCCTCAAGAATTCTCCTGCGACGAGGACGTCGTTTGCCTACGGCTCGCGACAGCATCAATTGAGGCGTCGCTGTTCGACTCAGCCAGTATAGCTCTTGGAATCCTCAAAGAACCCATCATGGCGTCGACGCCTATGGACTTGGACCATCGCGAGTCGACACCAGCCAATGGAAACTCGCTCAACATTACGCGTTCTCTGGCAACCAACAATACTACCCCATTGAGCGAAGTCATATCGTCGTTTCGCCCAACAAAGGCAAGGAATGCCCAAAAACTATATAGGGAGCTCTCTGACTGATTGGTTCTCAGCTTTTTAAAAGGCAAGACATCAAGGATGGCCGTCCTCAGCCACACGTGCTGTCACTCGACTTCGACGACCCGGGCGAACTTCTCATGACCTCTGAGAGCGACGAGACGATTCAGATTTACAGCGTAAAGGAAGGTATACACAAGAAGAACTTGCTAAGCAAGAAGTACGGCGTCAAGCTGGCAAAGTTCACGCATACGAGCTCCAGCATCATCTATGCGAGTACGAAGCAGAATGGTAGGCGCTCTTATGCTCAACCCGCCGCACAATAGCTAACGCCTACCAGATCAGATCCGATATTTGGCTACCCACGATAATTCCTTCATCCGATACTTCGAGGGCCACGAAAAGAGCGTCACAGATATTGCCATACACCCAGGGGCTGATAACTTCATCTCTTGTAGCCAAGATAATACTGTGCGCCTTTGGAATATTTCGACGAAGCAATGGTGCGGTCAACTGAACCTCAACTCTCCGTATCTCACCGCATACGATCCGTCGGGGCAGACTTTTGCTGTCGCGTGTACGAACAGCGGAAGCGTTCTGCTATATGACTGCCGCAACTACGACAAGGCGCCATTTGCGACCTTCGATGTCGTCGACGCCGGCAGACACGTGGACTCACAATTCGTAATCAGGGGTTGGACAAAGCTGGAATTTTCGAATGACGGTAAGCATATTCTCGTCGGCACTCGCGGTCCCGGCCACTTCATACTCGATGCTTTCGACGGGAGCTTGAAGGCGTACCTGCGTAAGCCCGAGGGCGGAACCCGGCGGCTGGCGGCTGGTGAGACATCAAGCACCATCAACGGCAGTATGCCGAAGACGGACCAGCCCACAATCGAGAGTAGCGGCGATTGCTGCTTCTCTGTGGACGGTCGTTACGTTCTGAGCGGTGGTCCAAAGGATGTACTGGTCTGGGATATCTTGACACCGCCCCAGAACGAGAACAAGACCCTCGACGCTACATGGGTATTGGAGGAAAAGCGAGAGGCGGCGGTGTTGGCATTCAACCCGCGATACAACTTCTTTGCGACGGCAGATCAAGATGTGATGTTCTGGGTGCCCGATCCTCATGCATGAAGCGGTTGGAGCATCAATGTAGGAAATTTAGAAGCTGCGAAATGGCGGTCTGGAGAGGTCAATTACTTTCGGAGTCTAGGATACGAGATACCCAACCCGTTGAGGAAAGTCGACATGAATGAATTTTGTTGAAACCTTGGGAAATATTTGATTCTACTCTTGCCTTGGAATATGCATGTTAGAATGGTGAAGTATCAGAGCTTGGGGTAATAGTCCCAAGTGTGCGGCTTAAACTTGCCCCTCGTCAGGCATGCAAGGTCGGGGTACCTCAACTTGGGATGGCCGAACCCCACCAAAATTGCATCCTCCACCAAAGCCAGGCCACCTCCACGACACCGAACGTCACTCCGACCACCACGGCGCGCACGACACCCCAGCGAACACTCCTCGAACCTACCTCCTCGAGAGACTCGGAACGCCATTACTCAGGCGCTCAGTTACCGACGACACGTCCCACGTACGCGCATACAGACCGGACCACCGCGCAAGGCCGTGGCCGTTTCTCCTCTCCCCACCCCCATCACTACCATCACATCGCAATGCCGACCTACAAGACCAGCCAGGAATGGCTGGAGCAGTCGTCTCTGCTCCTCCAGGCCCGTCCGACTACCGTAAGCCTGACCCGCATACTAGCAACTCATCTGCCAACCTTGGACGAGGGAAAACGTAGCGGCGGCTAATCTTCAGCGCCCCAAACAGACTAGAATCACAACAAAGTACTCCATCAAAGCAGTCAAACCCCGAAAGATCAAGACCTCGGAGGACGCATCCGCCGCATCCGCCGCAGCACCCGCAGAAGACGCAACCATGACAGACGCCAAACCCCCGCGCGGCTCCCTCGTCATCAAGACCTTCGACCCGGTCAGCGGCGTCGCCCTCAAATACCGCACCACAAAGGCCGCCGAGGTCTCCCGCCTCATTACCTGCCTCGGCGCCCTGGGCCGCACAATGTCCACCTCGAAACCGGCAACGTTGGACGCCGCCGCGGCGACCAAGGACGAGCCAATGGCCGATGCGGGTGGAGAGGACACGCCAGCCGGCGCGGCGACGCCTGTGGAGAAACCCCAGGCTGCTGCTGGAGGTGGAAAGAAGAAGAAGAAGGGCAAGAAATGAGGATAGGGATTGAGACAGTACTGGGGTGTTTATTTGGAAGTGGGAGACACATTGCTGTTCGTGAGTAGGGCACAATATTGAGACTGATATGTTGGGCAAGTCGCAGCCAACAGACACATCATGGAGAACACTTCACTGTTCGAAAGGGCCTCAAAGAGTCTTGTTGAAGCCTACTTGCATACACATGCAAGTCGTCCCAGACGAAATTTAAGGGGATTTCCTTAACAAAGTGGCAACACGAGCACACAAGCTCAGGAGAAGCGACATGTGGAAAACACTACAGCACATCACAAAAAGGAAACGTTCGGTTGTTATGTCATGTGCGATTACTAAAAGAGAATCACTGTGGTACATTATCCATCAAAGACATTCATGCCCCATTTTCCACAGTCATCCAACCAGTCCTTGGGAACCTCCAACTCCTTGTAAAATGATCCCCGCCAACGCCATGTATGTACGAAAAGGGAAAACAGCTCTAAACCTCAGCTCAGGTGAGGGGAGGGGGTTTGAGTGTAGAGTGTGAAAGGACGCTCTGGCAAACACCATGCGTGTGCAATGTACAAGGGTATATGGGGAAAAAGGAAACAACAGAAACTTCAGGCGCTCGAAGATGATTTAGAAGTCCTCATCGAAAGCGAAGTCTCCGCCGTTCTCTCCCTCAACCTTGGTCTCTTCTTGCGCCTTCTTGGTGCTGTTGAGCACACCAGCCTTCTGGTAGTCAGCGACACGCTTCTCAAAGAAGTTGGTCTTGCCGCCAAGGGAGATGTTCTCCATGAAGTCGAAGGGGTTGGAGGACTTGTAGACCTTGTCGTTGCCAAGAGCGACCAGGAGGCGGTCGGCAACGAACTCAATGTACTGCTTCATCAAGTTGGAGTTCATGCCGAGAAGAGCGCAGGGCAGAGCCTCAGTGAGGAACTCCTGCTCAATCTTGACGGCATCAACGATGATGTCCTCAATGACCTGCTTGTTGGGGCGGTGCTTGAGGTGAGAGTACAAGAGGCAGGCAAAGTCGGTGTGCAGACCCTCGTCACGGGAGATGAGCTCGTTGGAGAAGGTCAGACCGGGCATGAGGCCACGCTTCTTGAGCCAAAAGATGGAGGCAAAAGCACCGCTGAAGAAGATACCCTCAACAGCGGCAAAGGCAACCAGACGCTGGGCGAAGGAGGAGTTCTCATCGCTGATCCACTTCAGGGCCCAGTCAGCCTTCTTGCGAATGGCAGGGACTGTGATGCTAGTTAGCGATGCGGGCATGTAGGCGCGGGATGTGTTCACATACTGGTGTCAATGGCGTTGAAGAGGTAGGTGCGCTGCGCGGGCTCCTTGATGTAGGTGTCGATGAGGAGGGAGTAGGTCTCAGAGTGGATGTTCTCCATCATGATCTGGAAGCCGTAGAAGCAGCGAGCCTCAGGGACCTGGACCTCGCCGGAGAAGCGCTCGACCAGGTTCTCATTGACGATACCGTCCGATGCGGCGAAGAAGGCAAGAATGTGAGAGATGAAGTACTTCTCATCATCGTTGATCTTGTTGTTCCAGTCGTGGAGATCCTTGGAGAGATCAATCTCCTCGGCGGTCCAGAAGGAAGCCTCGGCCTTCTTGTACATTTGCCAGATCTGGAAGTCAAAAGTTAGTCATGGGTCAACGAGCAAACCACTTTACGCGTCTTGCGACGCGTTCACATACCTCATGGTACTTGATAGGGAAGAGGACGAAGCGCTGGCCGTTCTCCTGGAGGAGGGGCTCATCCTTCTCCTGCTCCTTGATGCCGGGAGCGACAACAATCTTGTTCTCGTTCTTGACAACTTCTTGTGTGGGCTTTGTCTGAACATCGGTCTTCTCGGTTGCGGTGGCAACGTCGGATGTGAGGGGCTGGTTCTCCTTGTCGGCGGGGTTGAAGTTGAGCTTCTTGACGGGAGACTCCATCTTGAAAGAGTCGAGGGCAGCAGCGGCCTGGAGAAGTGGTTGTTAGCGATTGCGACCATGGAAAGCGCGTGGACTAGAGTCAAGCTCGGCTTAACCGAGTGGTGACGTTTACTTACCTGCTTGGACGGAGTGACTTCGATAGACATGGCGGAAGTGTGTAAAATGTGGTGGGAGAGGAAGAATGAAGGCGATGAATGGAAGAAGGGGAAGACAAGACTTTGGAAGAAGTAAATTGAGGTCGTGAGTCTGTCTTTGGTTGTGGTATTGTCGTGATTGGGAGTGAAGAAGATGTCTGTTGATGGTAGAGGAACTCTGGAAAGGCAGAGTTTATGTAGCGGGCAAGCAGCACCGAGCGCTAGGTAGTGGGACGCGTTGAGCACAGGGCAGGGATACTCGCGTTTTCGTGTTTTCTACGGAGTAAGTACTTGGGTACCTTGAGCTTCGTACCTTTTTTGCAGGTGGCTGTGGAAGCTGGTCTGATTGCCCAGAGCACTTAAAGCTGAATCCACGCGCCGTCAATTCCCCTCCACCCCACTAAAAAGCGCGTCTTCCAGGGGCATCGCCGGCGCGTTTCGTTCCAAAGTGGAAGGATCTTGTCTCGCTTCTCACCTTTCCACTTCCAGACCCTGCAAAGTGCCCAAGACCTGGCGCAGAAAAGTCTACCGACTGTGGTCCCAAACGGAATATCCCAGGCCCAGCCCTCTTTTTTTGGCCCTTTTTCCCTCTTCAACATGCTCATCATTTGGAAGTTGGGTCGAGCTACGACGCCGAAGTGGCCGCTTGCGTTCCACCCCCCGGCACGCCAACCAGGCAACACGATGTCATGGCCGGGAAACCAGAGCAAGCTCTGTCCGGAGACTCGAGAGCTTCGGCCGAGCCACACACGTTCCAGATATCCCATTACCGCCTACAAGCCCCATCTCCCGGCCCTGCACACGCTTCTTTGAGCTGGATCCGTCCTCGGCGTTACGACTCGACGCGTTCCAAGCCCATCCTTCCCCTAGGTACTTCGATGTCAGGTATCAGATCAGATCTGATAAACTGAACACGTCCTAGCTCCAGCTTTGGTGGAACCCAGGTGGCCCATCCAAGACTCATCAGCCATGTAATCTCGTCTAAGCATCGACAAATCCTGACTGTATGACTCTCGGCTGCGGGTCGACGCGTTGGAAACGGACTTGCGGAATTACCATCACCAGTCTGATCGTCAATTTGACCGTTGGCACGGACACCGATTTCCGGATTCCCATCCAGATCCAAACAGTTGATGTGTCACGTACACGTCAACTCTTTGCAAGGCCTCAATTTTTTCAGTGAATCGTATTAAACTACTGACAGCTTAACTAAAGCAGTGTGGGTATGTAAAAGAAAAGGTATCGTGTCATGTTCATCTTCTTCGTCCAAGTCTTCATAAAACAAGCATCCAGAGCCAGGCAGACCAAGTGTCCGTCATCTTCTGACCATCCGTACGCTACACGCGAACACCAAGTGTGCTTTCCAGCCACCGCGAATTCCGACGGGTCACCCCAGTTGTCGTCATCTCCAACTCTGACATTTGACTCTTCTTTTTTTGAAAAGTATTTCTCGAGCAGCCGATAGTCTAATGACGCGATTGACGAGCAGGTCTGTCTCTGGGATCGCGAGCCGCCTCAACGTCGTCATCGACTCTCGAGCGACCTCCAAAGCCGAACCAGCCTCGACCGCCGGAACGCTCCTCTCTGACTGCAGCGGCGGCTGGAGCAGTTGGTGTGCGTTCGTGGCGGCCTGCTGACATGTGTCCATTGCGAGAAGGCTCACGGCTGACGTATTCGGGCGGAGTGCGGTCGCCTTGCAAGCGATCCCATTCATCTGCCTCACTCGGGTCGACGGCTGGAATGGGGGCTCCGCTACGCTTCAAATTCTTCTTTCCCTTCTCGCGAAGATGCTCCTCGAGAAGGATGGCGTTCTTGGTGTTGGCGCGGAAAGCAGCATCAGCGATGTCGCCCACGAAAGGCACCAGGCCAATGACGAAGTCGATAATGATGTTGAACATCATCTGGGATTTGACTGAATTTGGGAGTCCACCTTCGACCTTAGAGCAGGTTCTGAACACCATCATGGCCATGAAAGCATCGAGAACATCACCAACACTGAAGCCAACATGATGTTAGTCGTTGTCTTGTCGATAAGCCGAATGGGGACTGTGGGGGCGATGCAGCAGCAGGGGAGGAGGACAGGCACTTACGCAGGAACTAAACCGATGACGCTACCCCATCCAAATTTCACACCACAGCAGCTGAAAAGCGACTGATCGAGACGGTAGGCTCTCCTCTTGACTTTGGTCAAAACCTCGCCATCTTGCTTGGAAAGGCCAGGCGGCAAGGCCTTTCTGCGCTTCTTGACCTTGCCGTTGGGGGTACCATCAAGCCTGGTAGCGGGGACGCTCTCAAAGTAAGGGTCCTGGTGATGAGGTCAGTACATTCTGTTCGTGGATCCACCGTATCGCGGGTGAGCGCAGGGCCCAGGTGTAAGAAGGTAACATACCTCGCGGCCAAATTTATTTTCGACCTTTTCAGCAAGAATCTTCTTGCTGATCCACTTGGCGATGAGACTGGCCATGTTTGCAGTTGTATCGTTGACGAAGTGCCGAATCTCTAGGTTGTGTGTGAGTGCCGGATTGCGAAGAGCGGTGTTTCCCAGTCACTGGTAGTGATGAGTGGCGCACTGAGACAGAGACAAGCTCGTAGGGACCGTTGTTGACAAAGGCTTTCGCAAGGCGGCCCTCTGTGCTCTTGGCTTAGATTAAAGTAAGAATACCTTGGCAAGCTGGTAGGTATTCCTAAAGGTAAGGTTGTCAAAGGTCAAGAGGTTCCAAGACGGCTGCGGCAACCGAGCGAGAGGAACGGTCTTGGTGATATAAGTAGGTGTTGAGAGAAAAGCCGGGAAGCTGGCTGGCAAGGTCCGAGCTGCCAAGGTGTGGTAAGGTATGGGTTGTATGGGTGGTATGGTACTGCGTAGATCAAGTTGCCTCTTGTGCTCGTTGCACACTACGTAGGTCGGTTTGTCGCTAAGTTACAAGAGGTTGGTCCCTTGGACGCTTGTTTTCCCCCGCGGGCGCCCAGAATTCCTGTTTTGACAAGTCAGGGGACCAGACTACCATCATGATGTAATTTTGTCGGTCACTGCACGCCAATGCACTTGCCTCAGTTCCGAGAGGCCTCTTCAGTGGAGTCTGAGCAGGCTAGACCGCAGTCGTTTCACATCATGCTGCAGCGGCCAGTTGGCTGGTCTCCAATGAGCGTGCGCCGCGACTGGTCTTCAATGGCCCTGAATTGCATGCAATGCAGCACACAAAAGCACTTACGGGGCCTGCCAGCAGACTCAGCAGTGAGAGAGAGAAGAGGCCGGCACGTCCAGCCACGCAAGTGTGGCAAGTGATGTACGTGCACAGCCATATTGTGGCTATGTTCTTCTCCAGAATCTTCAAAGTTCGCCCCTTGTATCAAGGAAGCTCCCACCTCTCGGGTGCATTCCACCGAAAGAAAATTGTCATAGGATGAAAAGCTATTGAGGGAGCTTGCCTGTTGGCCTCCATGCTTAATTCCTTCAACAGTTGAGGCAACATATAGCTGACAGGGAATGGTCTAGACCGGATGGAAGCGAGGTGTTGATCTGATGTGGTTGACAAGCTGAAGAGATGGGCTGTGTCATGACAGTTTGGCCGCATAATCTATGCGCACTGTAATCACTATTGGACTCGACGCGTTATGAGACAGTGCGCTGTTTGACACGTGCGGAGCTGGGGAAGTTGCACCCAATCACGAGCTCGCTTAGCAGCTTGCGACCACGGCATCTGCCACGTCCAGTTAGGCATCTCGAGGAACGGGCCCACGGGTATGCCAGCTATCTTACGTTACGCTGTACCTTACCTACCTTACCTTAGCTGCCTGACGTTGCAGTATCTGCCATCGTCAACAAAGACGTGCAGTGCCCGTCACTACTCCGCACCCTACCTTATCCAAACTCCAAAGCATCACCATCACATCTGAGAGGCCGCTTGTCAGCGCATCTGCTCCAAACAACAAACACACCGCATCTCTGGGAAGCCACACCTGTCCCGCAACTCCATTCACCTTGATCCGCTGAATTGCCCGTCGCTGCCGATTCTCGTTGCAGCACGCGCATTCCGGTCGCAAGCGGAAAGCTTTGAGCCCGACCAAACCCCAAGCCTCTCCTTCCGTACCATGCAACGGTTCCTCACCTCGACCTCAACACAGACTCATTGCCAGGAGCATTTCGCCACCTTCACTCCCTCGCCAGGTACACCCGACTAAAATAGAGATATCCTCTTTGGGACATGTTATTAGCCATCGCGCAACATGGCCGAAGAAAAGATGCAGTTAGAGGATTGTTGGTTGCCCCACACTTTGGAAGATACACGGCGATAGCTACTCAGCCTTGCGCCATCAACTCATGACAGTTGCTGCGGCAGGACTAACAGTACATAGGGTTGGACGATCTATGTGTTCGATTTATCATCAACCTACCTGAAGAAGACCTGTCGTCCGTTGCTCGCATCTGTTTCCAAATAGAGGAGGCACAATGGTTCTACGAAGACTTCGTTCGGCCACTTGACCCCACGCTTCCTTCAATGACACTTCGAAGTTTCAGTCTTCGGATTTTCCAACATTGTCCCCTACTAGCTCCGTTTTCGGTCGAGAATCATACAAAGGCTTTTGAGGAGTTCTTGCAGTACAAGACTCGAGTCCCTGTGAGGGGAGCCATCATGCTCAACGAGGCTATGGACTCGACAATCTTGGTCAAAGGCTGGAAGAAGGGCGCCAATTGGAGTTTTCCTCGCGGAAAGATCAACAAAGACGAAGATGACCTTGAATGCGCCGTTCGTGAGGTATACGAGGAGACAGGATACGATTTGCATGCTGCTGGCCTGGTCCCCAAGAACAGAGAAGACGTCAAATACATCGAGGTCACCATGAGAGAGCAGCAGTTGAGGCTCTACGTCTTCCGCGACGTGCCGATGGACACCCACTTCGAGCCACGGACGAGGAAGGAGATCAGCAAGATTCAGTGGTACAAACTGTCCGAGTTACCCGCTTTTCGAAAGAAAGGAAACCAACCTCAAAACGAAGCCGCCGCCGCCGCCAATGCGAACAAGTTTTACATGGTTGCACCCTTTCTGGTCCCCTTGAAGAAATGGGTCGTGCAGCAGAAGAGAAAAGATGCTGTCAAGGCTGCCAACGAGGCGCACTTCAACCCGTACTCTCTTCACGAGGAGCCTGTCACTGAAGACGAAGTTTGGCAAACCGAACCCGCGACTGATGCTTCGACTCGGACGCCAGGGCTCGATACTCTGGAGGGTGCAACACAGGAATTGCAGCGTCTATTGAAGGTCCATCCGACGGCAGCGCAAGCAACATCGAAGCCAGCTTCTCCGGATATTGGAGCAGACAAAGGCGCATCGCTACTCGCTATCCTGCAGGCCAAGAACCAAGCTGTCGCCCAGGGAATCCCAGTCTCGCAGCTGCCCCATACTCCCCTCGATCATACCATTAGGCAGGCTCCACAGCCCCAAAGCCCTCATGGCCAGCATCACCCTCAGCAACGGGCACCGATGGCGAGTTATCAAGCTCCGCCGGCATTCCCCATCGGTCCAGATGGAACACCACAGGCTTGGGCTTTCCAACAGTCTGGAAATGCTGGCTCAGCCCATCCTCAAGCCAGGCAATACGGCCCTTCGATGATGGGTGGCCCTGCTCAACTGCCACAGCCGCCCCTGCGGCACCCTCAACCATTGCCGCCTCAAGCTCAAAAGATTCTGCTGAACCGGAATGCGTTCGCCGACGGTACACCCCCGCCGCCCCCTCAACACGCACAGGGGACTGTCAACCAACCCATGGCGAATGCTCAATACCAACCAGCACAGTCCCAGCAGCAAAGCCAGGGCATGATGTATCAACCCAAGCCGCCTAGCAGTCACCTCTCTAATCACTCTATGGCGCTCTTGGGAGTGCTCAAGTCGGATACAAGAACAGCTAGTCCAGATAAGGCTCGTCAAGCAAACCAGCAGCCCTACGGATCCGCATCTCAGGGGCAGGGACAGCCGCCAATTGGACTTCATGGAAACGGAGCTCCTCAGTATCCTCAGTCGCCTAGCATGTCGGGGGCAGGCGTAGCACACCCCCAGGGAAGTCCATCCATGAGGGCTCAGCAGCCTGTCGATCCTGCTCATCGGTCTGCCCTCCTTTCCATGTTCAAGAACCCTGAAGTCAGCTCCCCACCTGCCAACCAACCCGTCGAATTACCCGGAACTACAGCTAGCGCTGCTCTTTTGAAGGGAATATCTACTGTAAAGGCTAGCAATCAGGAGGTTCCCAGTCCCGTGTTCCGTGGAGTTCAGCCAGCTTCAAGCAGTCCTCTGAGCAGACCACCCCAGAGCGCTTCGGATCCGACCACCCAAGTACCCTTTCAAGGTCTATCGCTCCAATCTCAGCTCGGCAGACAAGAGCACAGAAGCCCTCAGACCATTGGAGGTTACAGCCCGAGAACGATGGAGAACAGAGGTCTCTATAATCAAGGCGCGAATAACAATTCCGCCATATACAATAATCCCTCGCCCCAAATGCACCCGAATCAGATCCTTCAGCGAGCCGAAAACATGAGCAAGCCCGTTGGCCCTCGTGCGCCTGCTTTAGCCTCGGTTTTCGGGGTCGATAAGCCGGCCAGTTTGGCCAGCCCACCGTCAGCATCCGCTCTTCCCGCACCTGCTGGGCTGCAGCAGAAATCACAAATGCCGCCCGAACAGAGGCAGAAGCTTCTATCGCTTTTTGGAAAGCCTCAGTCGCCGAGCCCCGGGCCTGGCTTTGCTCCCGAGGATAAGGGAAAGGCCAGGGAGATGATGGCTCCGGACGGGAGCATGCGATCGCGTGTGGCTTCTCTGGCCTCTGCAAGCGGCCAGGGCGTCCCGGAGGGCCTGTCAGAGTCCCGTCGCGGCAGTCAGACACCGATTTCTCCTGCCGACCGAAGTTTCCTGCTTGGCTATTTGGCATCAGTTGCCAATAACGCTAAGTAGGCTTCAATGCCTCGATCGAACGGTATGAAGGTGACTGAGTGAAGGGGAATGCAGGAGTTAACCGCGCGATTTTCCTGGGGTACACGCTTGATTTGTGTTTCGTAATTCTTTTGCTTTCGGTGTTGCATTGCGACGGGTTGATGGGATTCCAAACATTTTTTTAAAGGTGGCAAAGCATTCCTCGGGGGAGAAGGGCCAAGGTGCAGGATGGGATATCGAGGCAGGAAAACTATACCCTGGGACACACCTCGTTTACCAGTTTCGCAACAGTCATTGGGTCCAATGCTTCAGATATTAAATAAGCCACTCTGTCTTTGATTCACACGGTAATGCTCGAGGTGAAGGAGAAGCACTGAATACCACCAGCCAGCGTTGATACATGGTCTCACCTTTAAAACCCGCCCCCGCGCAATCCACGTGGCTGTTTTCCCGTTTCCAGCCGCTCGCCGTGGCGTGACATTCGAGAGCGGCCCGCACCGGTCTACTTGGGCTCTTCCATGAGTCCATAGTACTTTGACTTCGGTTGTCAAGTAGGTATGCTTTCGTTACCCCGATCGAAAGTGGCCTGATGCTGCGTGGGACGGTTCTCTGGTCCTCTATTTCGCTTATTCGCCCCTTCGCCTCTCTCGATACAAGCCACATGAGCAAGCAGCAATGGGAACAGCCCGGCAGAAGCCTGCTTTGGGACGTCTGGGGCAAGATATACCGAGCTCGAGTTATAGCAGGACTCCGCGTGTGCCATGATTTCCCATCGAATCATTTAGGTTTCGTTCAGGTGTGGCCGTCTTCTAGGCACGCCGATGACACCACTTGACTTTGGAGGCGAGCTGGCATAAGAAGTCGGAGAACAGCACACCATAGACCGTAACGGAGAGTAGCTCGTAGAAACGAACAAACACCATTTTGAACCAGAACCTTTGGATCATACTTACAGCAAGCACCTGTCCGGTTATCAAACTACCTCCGTAATTGGCCTTCCCCAGACCCAGACTGCAAAGAAAGGAAGCCCGTCAGAAAAAGAGTGCCCGGCCAGCAATGTTCTTCACCACCTCCCCCGACGCCCTCTTCATCCCGCCCGCGACCATCGACCCGGTGGGCTTCGGCAAGGTCGCCATCGTCACGGGTTGCGGGTCGGGCGTGGGCCTCGCGTGCGCGCAGCTGCTCCTGGCGCACCAGTACTCCGTCTGCGGGCTCGACACGCGCGAGTTCAACTACGGGCTGCTTCAGGAGGCGGATCACGGCCGGTTTCATTTTCACCGCGCCGATCTCACTGGGCCGAGGGCGTGCGAGGATGGGGTTTATGCTGCTGTTGCTTCTTTTGGGTGAGTTTTGTGTTGTTCGAGGACGTTGTTCGAGGGGGGTGTTGGTCAAAAAAGGAGAGGAAGGGTATCGATTTGAGATATGATGATGGACTGACGGGTGATACTCCAGCGGACGTATCGACTTGCTCGTCAACGTTGCGGGCGTGATGGGATCGTTCAGCAGCGCCGACGGCGTGACGGACTCGGAGTGGGACCGGGTGATGGCCGTGAACCTCACGGTCCCGGTCAAGATGATGAGGGCGGTGATCCCCTTTATGCTCGAGAAGAAGTCGGGCGTCATCGTCAACGTTGCCAGCACGGCCGGCGTCTCGGGGGCCGTGGCTGGGATAGCGTATACGTGCAGCAAGCACGGCCTGGTTCGTTCTCTTTCTCCTATTTCTTTATCAACCTGTTCAGTTCGCTGGGTAGACGTCTAGGTGGAAGGCTTCGAGGGCAGACCGAATATCGCTGACACCCCTGAGACGGTAGATCGGCGCCACCAAGAATGTGGCATGGCGCTTCCGCAAGGAAGGCATCAGGTGCAACGCGGTGCTCCCTGGCGCCATCGACTCGCGCATCGGCAAGGCCATCGCCGCCGGCCACGGAGGGGACGAAGAGTTTGACGCAGAGGCGTACGCGCAGGTTGAGCCCGTCCATGCCCTCCACGCCCAGGCGTCCGAGTCGACGCCGAATATCACGCCGCTTGAGGTTGCGCAGTCGGTGGTGTTCTTGGCGACGGATCAGGCGAGGACGATTAACGGGGTGAGTCTGCCGATTGACCAAGCTTGGAATGTTGTTTGAGGACGTAGTTTTCTCGGGTTCGTTAAAGGGGATGATATGTTCTGCTTTGGTATGTGACCTGCCTGATGTTGGATACGGACAATAGAAGACATGTTTGGACTGGAGTTGTTTTTCAGGGTTCGTTCTATCGATGGAATACAAACTGATTTCTGGTCTACTGCCAATTCGTGTGATAGCCGTTTCATCTGCCTAGCACAAGAGCGAGCCTGTTATGGTGGCATCTGATTGATACAGGACATCGCCTGCCTCCCGGTTGAATAACCCATCATCACAGTACGACGAAGATGGACAAGAAATCAACAAAAAAGCTCGGGCGTTGGTTCGAACCCTATCCCTACGAAAAACCAGCGTCCCAGTTTCTTCATCACCCGTTTAACCACCAGGCTACGTGGCCCCAGCAAGTTTGCACTATACCGGGGAGACGCTCCTTCCTCTGAATCTGTAATCCATATACTCTTCAGTCTTTCGTGGGAGAATGGAATACACAGGAAACTGGAACAAACAAGCAAACGGCAAGAAGTCAGGTGCAATATATTGAATTACGGGATTCTCAATACTTCGCTTATGAAGGTCCAAGACAGCGTCCTCCTTGGGACAGAAAATGAGACATCACCTAGGGTCAGAGTCCTTTGGAGATGAGAGCATAGAAAATTTCTCGATTGCTCTTTATTCAAAGTATGCTCAGGAAGGTGGAGTGTGATGAACAGACTTCTGCTTAGACGCTCTACTCTTATTTGACGAGCAGCTCAAGGTACAAAAGTCCCCGAGAAATACGTTTCTAGTTGGTACTTTTGTTGATGCTGAGAAATCGGAATTAGTCTTATGTCTATCCCGTCTTCGCAGATGGACTCGAACATCTGCGCAGAGAGTAGCCTCTAATAAGGTAACAAACACACTCGAAGCGTAGGGTATCTCTAGAACTCCGTGCTACCCTCCCGCCAAGAAACATCGCATACTCCTTCCCCCAAAAAGACTCAAAACAGTGGCCCTTAGGCTCAAAGCACCAACATATGACAGGGAGCCCTCAGACCTCGCCCCTCAAATGCCAAGTTTGCTGGGAATCGTACGGAATCTGGACTTCGTTATTCCTCATCAAACGACAATCTTCCGCTGGGAACTTGTGTGAAGCTCCGGCCGGATGTTTTCCTCGTCCTCGTCAGTCTTGTCCAACTTCAAAAGCTCGAAACGGTTGGCCATGGGATTCATTGGGAGTCTGATCGGGGGCACTTGAGTCTGGACTCGCTGAGGTTCGGCAGGCAAGGGCTGCGAACATTCATCGACATCCCACTCGATTTTGGATCCCTTGTATTTGCTGCTGACGTGTAAGCTCCAAAGCACTTGTGTCCAGCGAGATGTCCGACTCACAATCGGCTCATCATGCAGGTCCGCGCATACATGGCATTGTGCACAGAGTTCGTGCTGATGTAACAGCTTCCGCCTCGGAAACTGACAGTAATGACAACCAAGTTGTGGATGTGCTCCATATCATCCCGAATCTCCTCTTCGGTGAGCTTCGGGTCGCATCGTCGAAGGATGAGATTGCGACTGGCACCAATGCCGAGCTTACTCGCAACATGGCCAGGCAAGGTGAAGTGCCGATCACTCCATCGAACATCAACCTATCATTGCAATTAGCCATACGTGACGCTGGAAACCGAACGACGTAGCCTACTCTTTTCTGCTTGATGTATAGATCATGGCGCCGGGTATGCTCAAGGAAGGCCGCTGCATCGGTGCCATGCAGGAAAGACACATGGGCAGTCCGGTCATACGGTCTCATGAAGATGTCCAGCAGCTGACCGCCACGTACATTGCCAGTGATATCAGCGTGAGTTGTGCCTTCGGCGAGGTTTGAGATCAAGATAGTCCTGGTGGCCAAACGCTCGAACCGAGGCCGTATGGGCAGTTGGGAATCATTCTGATCCCCAAAATCATGTTCAGGCTTGAGCTCAGGCTCAACGGGAGAGATTGTCGCCTCAGATTCATCGAGGTTGACAGGCTCCTCAGCCCACCCACGCTTGACAGGTTGCTGGATAGGAAGTCGGCTTGGGTCTTGGTTTCCTCGCGTAGCCGTGGCAGTCGTCACGCGGGGCTGACCGACTGGGCGTCGAATCCCATTCTGAGGAGCCTCGGATGGTGAAGTGACCTTCCCTTCAACATTGTCCTCTTGATAGTTGGACTCGTCACAGGTCAATACCTAGAAGCTCATCGCTTAGCTTGTATCGTTTACAGGGGTCAGAGGTGGAGACCTCGACTTACAGCCAGGGTAGCTTCAGTTACACCTCCTCGCATGAGGTTACGACGCAAGTTCGCTGTTGAGAAGTCAATGACTGGATAATTACCGGGGATTTGATGCCCGAAAGAAGCTGCGCATAGTATAATTTTTGTGCATACCGAATTCTTGGGCCGTTTTGACAAGGATGTCATGCTCGGCGCGGGTAATGGTGACGGTCAGATAACTTGAGTTAGGATCATTGTCGGTGTTCTTCAAGCAGGCTCCGTCAGCAATCCTCACGATGACGATGGAAGAGATGAAGGGTGGGCAGTCGTGTAAGCCGTACCAATTGAGCCCTGTTCAAAGAGTTAGCCTTTATCGTGAGATATTATTGATAGGCCGGACTGGGAGTGGCTCGGTTGCTAGTCCGAGCGAGGTGTAAATAAGAGGTCTTACCTTCTGATGAGGGTGTCCAGATAATTCCGGTCGATCGAGACCGTAGCATCGTTTGTAAATGCCATGATCTTTGTATTATCCGTGATGTCAATTGACCCAGGTCGTTTGTATTTTCGAGTCTGAGAAATAATTACTGCCGCGTGTGATGTTGAGGTAGTCGCGTACGGGTAGGTACAGGTGAGGCAGGCACCCAGAGAGCGTTACAAAGGTACATAGGTACTTGGAATGCCTTCCCTGCCTGGTGTGAGCGGGTAGGTAGGTAGCTCTATTATCTTATCGATAACAGCAACTGTGGCGGGCAGGCAGTTCGTTTCCCTTGAGGTACCTTATCGAGAGTGGTGGCTCGTGCTCGTGCTCCACCCATCCCCCGTTGGGTGACTTGGAGAGCCATCCTGCATCCTCTCCGGGCAGGCCACCTTTGGTCCAGCCAGTTCCTGGGGATGGGAGAAGGACTGCCCGTGGTCCCTGAGGCGGCACGTCATCCGGCGGGAAGTCTCGAGTCGTCCAAACCTCATCCCTTATTACTCAAACTCAATGTCGAGAACGGGAGCACCTTGACTGAACACGCCACAACGAAGGGACCCCTTGAATTGGGCGCAAGAGTCACTGTAGGGATTCTCTGGTTTTCGAGGTTAACCATCACGTACTCAACTAGAATAATCCTGAAGCTATACAGACGCAGAACCCTGACACCCGAACAAGAACATTGACTTCTTTAAAACCATTTCCTGTGCTAGAGACTGCACTGATATGCATCGAGGGCAAGCCAAGCACGAGAAGCTTGCTTTCATGACGGCGATGTTGACTGGAATGGATACTCAAATTGGAAGAGGACCGGATAACAGTGGTAATGCATCGTTATGCTGAGGGATGCTTAGTTTGATTGATGCAGTCCAAGCAGCCCTAGTATGCACAAACGGCCTAAAGTCAGTTGTAACAACTCATCATTGGGCAAGGTAGTGACTCGCCAGCTCCTGAACCTCTATATGTCTCGGAGTCCAGCAATAGGTTTGAAGAAGCACCCACAATGGCACAATTGTACTTTGCTTGATACATTGGAGCGATTGAATGAATCACTGGCGCAGTCAATTTGCCTGGTGAGGTTCCGCAAAAACAGAAAGAGACGGTTTCAACGACGGAACCGTTCGCCGCACGAAGCTGGGAACTCCCGGTTGCTTGTCGCACCCCGTCCCAGGGATCAAGACATGGGCAACCAGACTTTGCACGTCGATCCCGGCGGGACGGAAGAAGTTTGCATGTAGTCGGAATATATGCCACTAGTAAGGTATTAATGCAGACTTGCAGTTTCGCTCGGTCGCATGCACGAAAACGGTGCAGCAAGTACGAAAGATTGGCACGGCAAATTGGCTCTGTGTAGGCATGATGTGCACGCAAAAACCTGCTCAGAATTGATGCAAAGCGGGCCAAGACCCTGCGACTCTGCATCTCTGATGCCAAGCAGCGAATGCTGACTACCTCATTCCAAGTCCTCATGCCTCTGTACTCCGCAGACGTAGTCGCTACGAAGTACTGACGGGATGTCGGGCTGAGCGGAGGTAACTCTTAGGTGGTGTTACGAGCCACCAACATGTTAAGGTCCGAAACTGTGAGAGGCTGAGAGGCTTTCGTCGACTACCCAATTGTCTTTTGTATGTAGCTAGACGACTTGGCACTGCTTGTGAGAACCCAAGCTGGCTTAAGACAGCCTGCTGGACAACACAACGGGAATTTTCTGTTGGTGGCTTTACTACGTAGGTTGTTGCTCGGGTCGGGGGTTGGGGAACCCGTGAGGAGATCCGACGGGATGCTCACCTCACATTGAGGGTGGCGATGGCAATAGCGGCTTGGAGTCTCGGGCATGTGTTTGGGTAGATGTGTTGTCAGATTATGGAGTATTGAAAGGGAACAATTCATTAGACGACGATGTCATGATGGCTGCAAATCATCATGAACGGATGGAAGCGGCTGGTTATCGGTCTCGCCTCAGTCTCATGATTGATTGAAGATGTGGAGGCGCGTGTCCCGAGTAATTATTTTTAGAGGATGTCAACACGAGGGGGAAGGAATACGATGTGCCGGGTGGATCCCATATGCTGAACCCGATGCACCACCAGGTCGCGAACCTCCAAGTCAGTGACGCTCACGTCCGTCCGGGTACCTCCCTTTTTATTCGTAAGATACTACGTACTTTCTGCTTAGGTCAGTCAATGCTTAGGTACCTTGGAGACAAGGCATCTGAATCTGTACAAGTATGGATACCTATGTCCTCATTATCTACCCATGAGCCTTGTATTGATGTTTACCATTGTATAATAATACATGTCCGGTTCGGACTCTTCCAATTGTCATACAGACCTCATGAGATTGTTGAGTACTACTAAGGCTTCGCTCTCGAGCTGAAAAAAAGAGGTCGGGACCAACGCTTTGGGGTGGCGGGGATGCAGGCCGAGGAAGGCCCAGGGCATGTCGATACGCTAGACGGTAGAACTAAAGATCCCTAGCGCAATGAGGCAGGTACTGGTAAAAAAAAAAAAAAACAGAGAAAGAGACTGGATCGAAAGACGGTTGGAACATGGCGGCTGGCGGTTGGCTGTTGGCTGTTGGGTAGCCCAAGGTCGGAACCTGTCTGTCCATTGTCCATTGTGACTTTGTCACGGCCTATCCTCTCGTGCCTTTCTACGAAGTACCTATGCAGACGTGCCTTTCTGCACCCGTATGCAGGTTATTTTTTTCTGCATTGGATGCCCCAGCCAAAAAATAATGTTTCCAGCCCTCTGTTTGGCTGGATTCCCTTGCTGACTGGTCCGATGTCCTCTTCTCAGCCCGGGCTGTGCTGTGCCACCCCATCTTTCTCAATGCATTGGTGTGTGGCCTAACAGGCTTCGCCCCTGTTCCCTAGGTACCTGCTGCATCGCGTTGCCCTGCATTCCCATTTTTATTGTTATTTTTTTCATTCATACGGATTACGGCCTTGCCCGTGCCATGATTCCGTCACTACCTTAACGCGCCTTAGCCAAACTCGCACCCTTCGGCCACCACCCAATCTTCCCCTGGAGCTTCGAGGAGACGCTGGGAAAACCCCCCCATGCCCCCCCGAGAGTCACTTGCACATTCGGGGGATGGGCCTTGGTTGCTGTGGATCCACCAAACCTAATCAATCGGAGCCCCATCCACGTTCCCTTCTGTTGAACCCGCCCCGAAATCTCTCCTCCCATTCCAGCGCCTTCTTAGTTAGCCTGTTTGCTGGTGCCTCTACTTCCTCCCTCTCCCGGTCGACTCCTCTTTCCTCCCATCCTGATGTGATTTGCTTCCCAGCAGCAATTCAAACGCCCTTTCTCGACGTCCGCTTTTTCTGCTGTTTAATTCGAAACATCGACACTCGCTTGATTCTACCCGCTCGTTTTGGTCGTTTATTGAAAGAGGAGGAATTGACAAACCAAACACAAATCTCCCGGGTCCCAAATTACTCGACAAGCCAACGACAACCCCCAGGTTTTGTTATTGCGAATTTACTGTGCGAAAATAGGGGTGGCCACAACCAACACCATCTCCCTCAACCACGACTACTCGATACCGAATATCGAAAGACACAAAGGACGTCCTTCTCGACCGACTGCACTCGCTTATTAACCCATTTTGGTTAATTTTGAAGGCCTCGACGACGTCCTTCCGCTCGGAACCTCGTCCTCATCTTCAACACACCCTCATAAATTTCACCGGGAATCTACCTCCCCCCACATCAAAATGAAGGCCGTTCAGTCTCTCGCTCTCGGCCTTGCCGTCTTCACTCCTCTGGCCTCCGCCTGGCCCAAGTGGCTTCCAGATGTCGACGCCCTGGTTGTGCGGCAAAACGATGAATCCTCAACCGGTATGTCGTGCCACGTTTCCCCGGGAGCCTCCCGTCGTCACATTGTGTTTGTGAACCTCTATAGCTAACCTTACTCACCAGCTGCCGCAACTCAGACCGCGACTGCTCAGACTGGCGCCACAGCAACAGGAACGGCACAGGCGACAAACACCGGCGGCGCGAAGACCACCAACCTCAACACCGCAAAGCTTCCTACAGGCACTGAGACGGGCACTGGCACCAAGACAGGCACCAGCAAGTCCAAGGCGACCTCTTTCGATGACACAGATCCGGCTGGTGGCATTACCATGGTCACGCCAGCGGCCACGGCTCAGTCTATCAACCTTTACAAAATTGGAGACTTTGTCACTTGGGGATGGAACTACACAAACCTCCAAGCCTCTCCTACGGCCATCGATGTCCTTGTTTCGTGCTCATCCATGGCTCAGACCTGGACATTGACACAGAACATGACCTTTGCTCAGCCCGCCTCCTTCACCTGGGATTCGAGCGTGCAGGCGACCGACCCCTCAGCGCCGCTGCGAAATGACGAATACACTCTTGTTATCTATGACGCGGAATCAAGCGTCAGTGCTACCGCCCAGCCTGGCTACCTCGGCGTCTATTCCAGCTTCAAGTTTGGCATGTACAAGGCCCAAGAATACAAGCCCCTGAACGAGTGGAACTGCGCAACGTGCTCTGCTGCGTCTGGTCTCGACAGCAAGGCTCTCGGCATGGCTGTCGGTATGAGCATTCTCACGGTGGCCAGTTTCACATGGTTTGTGGCGGGAGTGGGCATGTTTTAACGACGTGTTCTATAATGACCAAAAAATTTCATCTGTAATTTTTGAATATCTAGTTGCTTTGGGGGGCCTTACAAGAGCGAGGAACAAGAGTCCAGCGGTAATCATTTACGGTGGTCATTTCTACACAACACAAGGGGCGGCGTTATGTGTCACAGCATGGTCGGGCAAAATATGACTCCGCATATAGGTAAACTCAAGACGTTTATGAGTGTTATCTTGATATATAGCTTAATTGATGATACTGGCTGATACATGGCCGTATGAACTATCGACTCTTCTCTTACACCATTCTGAGTGAGAATCCACCGCCTTTCTCTTCCCTGTCTCTGCCCTGGAAGATGCCGCTAAAGTCGACATCACCCAGATCTGCGGCATTCTGCCCGCGGACGGGAGCATTCGGTTCATGTCTTCGCCTTTTCTCCTGGCCAGCTTTGCTGGGGAACGTTGGAAACATGCCCTCCTTCTTGGGCTTTGGGTCCTCCCTAAAATATTTATGCTCCAGCATCTCCTTGGCCGACGGCCTCGAATCCGGGTTCAACGAGAGCAGGTCGTTGAGCAACTTACACCCGGCATTCGTCAGTGTGGTAAACTTGGTCCGTATCATGGACCCTGTGGCATTGGGCGTCTTGGGAAATCGCAGAGACCGCGCGTTGGGCAGGCTCCTGAACGAGGGCCACGTCTCCTGCGTCGGCACGCCGCAGAGCTCAAAAATCTTGGTCACCTGGTCGACCTCGTTGGTGCCTTGCAACAGCGGCTCCCGCGTCAGGAGCTCGCCAAAGATGCAGCCTACACTCCACATATCGACGGCCTTGCCGTAGGCCCTGGCACCGAGGAGCAGCTCGGGCGAGCGATACCACAGCGTCACGACGAGCTGGGTCAGCTTCGGGGCCGGGTCGCCGACGTACCGCGCCATGCCAAAGTCTGCTATCTTGAGCTGGCCGCGGTTGTTGAGGAGGAGGTTCGAGGTTTTGAGGTCGCGGTGGAGGATCCAGTTGTCGTGGAGGTAGGCGACGCCGGCGGTTAGTTGCCGGAGGAGGGTTTTGACTTCGGAGAGGAGGAAGGGTTCGGGCATGTCTTCTAGGATGCTCTTGAGGTCGTGTTCGACGAACTCTAGTACTAGGAAGATACTACAAACTCTGTTGTTAGCGTTGCCACCGCTAAGAAAGCAGACTGATAGATGTATAGGTTACGTACTTTTCAATCTTTGAGGTGTCGTCCCCCACAACAACCTCCTCAAGGTGGACGATATTGCGATGGCTGCAGTCTCGCAGGATCTGTATCTCTCGCAGCCCCGTCACAGGCAGCCCGTTGCGATCACTTGGTTCGATCTTCAACCTCTTGAGCGCAACGACCTTGCCACTAGAAGCCTCCTTGGCCCGCGATACCCAGCCGTATGTACCTTCCTCGATATCGTTGAGCTTGTCGTAGTTCTCCACGCTCCGGCACTTGCCCCAGTGGCCGACGGGGAAGCGCATGAGCTTCGCCGTGCCCTCTTTTGCATCTGATGGCGCACCGCCGTCGCCATTGGCTGTTGTTGTCCTTTCCTCTGCGTCGGGCGTGAACTTGCGCCGTTTCGCTGGCCGTGTGCTGTCGTTGGCGTCGCCGTCGTTCTCAGTTCCATTGCTGCTCTTCGCCGCCCTCGCCTGTTGCGCCAATCGTTCCGCCTCGGCGGCTTTGCGCGCCTTTTCGGCTTTCAGACGTTTCTTCTCCTCCTTTTCTCGCTTTAGTTTTGCATCCAAGGCTGCGTCCTCTGCGCTGTCTGCCCACCTCGATTTGGCGTTGCTCGCCATGGTCGGCGGCGAGGGTGGTTGTGGATTTGGTCGCAACAGACGGGAAAGCCTCCTTTGAACTAAGAAAGCATATGATGTAGGTGAGTCTCCAATCTATGTCTCGAGAGGGGTTATCGGGGGGACTCGTGTGTGGCAGTTTCGTCGTAATTTACGCAACTTGGGAATAGCCCACGACTTGCAATCGCGCTGCCGTTCAGGTGGTGCAGTGAAGCAGGGATCAGACGCGGCGACTCGGCGGCTACCATGCTCCGACTTTGTCCCATTCTTTTGTTTTTTCTCGGGGACCTGGCGGCGGGAGCTCATGCAAGTCACAGCCAGAGCTAGCTAGGTAGCGTCCCGGAATTGCAGGTAATACTTCCCTTATCTTATCGTACCCCAAAAGTTTGGTTTGACAAAGCTCCAGAAGCTGCTCCTGCTTGTCACTGGAAACTCTCACGACGCGCAGCCATAAACGAATCGAACGAAGCGAACATCGTACAAGGCTACCTGCCTCACCCGAAACGAGAAACCTCTCCTCGAATTGCAGTTCCACATGCACATGTGCTACTAAGGCCTCCTCTCTCTCTTGAGGAATCCCGCGATGATCCCGACAGCTCGTTGAAGCCCAGTAATTTACTCGAAGTAGCAAAGAGAACCTGTGGAAATACGCAAAGATGCAGCGACTATCTCGTCAAAGAATTTTGTGGGATGGCCTTCGTGGCGCTACCATATCCCGCGCCGTGCAGCGGACCAGCGCAGCGCATGCTTCCAGATGCTTTTCAAGTACGGTCTCGAGGCGGGATGGAGAGGAGAGGAAATGGTCCACGCCTCTGGCAAAGCAACTGGCCGAGGCTATCTCGGTATTAACCCTGCGCTCTTCTTTACCATTGATTGCATTCATCTAATGTTGTTCATGTCGTAGATGACCGGTCCCGTACCTCTCGCGAGCTATATGCGCATGTGTCTGACCGGTGACATTGACGGATACTATACGGGTTTGGCCGAAGAGAACAGAGATCAGTTCGGCTTGAAGGGAGACTTTGTCACGTCGCCTGAGATTTCCCAGATATTCGGCGAACTGATTGGCATCTGGTTCGTTGCGGAGTGGTTGAGCCAGGGCAAGCCTAGTAAGGGCGTCGAGCTCATGGAGGTCGGTCCCGGACGCGGCACTCTAATGGACGATATGCTTCGTGTAAGTGGAATCGAGTTACCTGTGGCAAGTGAACGTTGACGACTGACATTCCGTATATAGACTATGCAGAACTTCAAGGGTTTTGCGCAGAGCATCGACGCCATCTACATGGTTGAGGCCAGCCCTCAGCTCCGAGAGGCACAGAAGAACCTCCTTTGCGGTCCTGACGCGCCCATGACCGAATCCAAAGTCGGCTATCACAGCGTTTGCAAGCGGACCAACTTACCCATTGTCTGGACCGAGACCATTAAGTCTATCCCTCAAAGTGAGCATCGTGGATCCGTTACAGCTTCGGGAGGACCAGAAGGGCTGACACCATCCCCAGGCTCCGAGAAGATGCCCCTGATTGTGGCACATGAGTTCTTCGATGCGCTCCCCATCCACGCATTCCAAGCCGTCACCGTCCCCCCTTCCCCGCCCAAAGAGCCCATACCAGGACAGCCCGCTCCGAGAACCCCCCCTCCTCGTGAACCTGAAGGACCCAAGATCGAATGGCGCGAAATGCTCGTCTCGCCGACACCGCCAGACGCCACCCACGCAACCATGAACATACCGAAATCAGAACAGGGCGACCCGATCCCCGATTTCCAAATGACGCTTGCCACAGGTCCAACCCGCCACTCGCGTTACGTCCCCGAGACCTCATCCCGCTACCGCCGTCTGAAGGCCACCGTTCCGGACGCCGTAGCCGAGATCTGCCCCGACGCCTCCATCTACGCCGCCGACTTTGCCAGCCGCATCGGCGGCTCAAAGCAGCATCCCAAAGCCCGGCCTTCTGGTGCTGCACTGATCCTGGATTACGGCACGTCCGACACCGTCCCCATCAACTCTCTGAGAGGTATCCGCCGTCACCGCCGCGTCAGTCCCTTCTCGGAACCCGGCCTCGTCGATCTGAGCGCCGACGTCGACTTCACCGCCATCGCTGAGGCAGCGATGGTCGCGAGTGAGGGTGTCGAGGTCCACGGACCGGTCGATCAGGGCGCGTTTCTGGGTCAGATGGGCATCAAAGAGCGTGCCGAGGTGTTGATAAAGCAGGTCAAAGCCAAGGCGGCCGCTGACAAGGCGCAGGCCATTGAGGGTGCCTGGAAGCGTCTTGTTGACCGTGGCCCCGGCGGGATGGGTAAGGTCTACAAGGCCATGGCCATCTTGCCTGAGAACGATGGAAAGAGGCGTCCCGTCGGCTTTGGCGGCGATGTGTAAGAGTTGTCGTGTACTTTTAGATTAGGAACCACTTGTAAAATGATACCAAACGAGAGCAGACTCGAGAGCATTATTTGCGATCATATAATTGACAATGGGGTACCCCCGACCTCTACATGACAATGAATTTTCTCTCCTGAATGACGGAAACCGAGTATACTGCGCCAACGCCGCCCTTGAAGTGCATACTTTACACTGCAATTACGCAATTGCTACTTTTCCCGATGCCCGGAACCCAAAATGCCCACCGTCTATTTCTTGCTTACAAGCTTGGCGTCTTCCTCATCAGAATCATCCGAGAACCTGTCGCCATCTTCTCCCACTGCGAAGATGGTCTCTCCATCCAAAGACTCGCGAGGGATGTGCCTTTGTGGCTGTGCTTGGGGCATGCTCGCCGGTGCGGCCGATGAGCCACCGTGGCCAGGAGTGGATGATGGAGCAGTGGTGTTGTTCTTGCCCAGTTGGGCTTCCTCGTCGTCATCGTCCGAGTCAATGCCGCCAATATCAGCCATCGTGAACGTGCCATCATCGTCTTGTGCAATTTCGTCACTCATGGCGAAGCGTCGGTTGTTCGCCGTCGGTCTCCAGACGTAGGCAATGAATGCCACATCGGCGAAGTAGACAAGATTCAACCAACCATCGAGAACGAACCACCGCGACTTCCAGTGAAAGGGAACGTAGTCGGGGTCGCTGACTGATGCGAAGCTGAAGCTGTTGAAGAAGAAAAAGCCGAAGATGACGAAAATACTGATCAGGATACACCACCATAGCTTCTTGTACATGGCTTCCTTTGCATGCTGCTTGCGCTCACGTAGATCCTTGAGCGTGAAGTTCAGGGAGTTCAGCGTCCAGATATAGAATCCGGTAAGTGTACCTGCAAGAGGGAGGACGATGAGAAGCACGAAGGGTCCTATAGTGTGTTAGTCTGCAACGGTCTGAGTAGCTCGAGGTATCAGGGTCTAATGGCTTACCAGCAGCGTCTGGGGTAATTAGCAAGCTGGTGATCGCGTACACGAGCCCGAAGACAAAGTGGGCAATCGCAAGCCAGCGTACCCAGATCATCGTTCGTCCAAGCGTGTGTTTGACTACACCGTATCCCATGCAGACAATGAGCAAGAGGAAGAAAGAGAATGAGTTGCGAGCGGCGTTCAAAATGGCTACTATCACTAGCAACACCTTGGAGCCGATATTCGCTCCATTTCGGTTGAGGTAGTCTGTTTTGGGTCAATTTATATTCTTGCAACTGAGAAAAGGGAGCCTCACCATAGAAGCCCCATGTCAAGAGCATCTCCACAACAAGGAAGATGATGATGGCCGTAATGTAGTTCTGAACCGGTACTGTAATTGTGATTAGATGGGCAACAACTGCATTGAACCTTTCGACTTACGAATGTCATGGCGGTGCTGGTAGTACAAAAAGCCCCAGAATACGGCAACTAGGGCATAGAGAATGGTGATTCCTCCGTAGAAGGGTAGCTTCGGGATTTGAGTCGCAGGCAGCTCGCCGTAGGCATTACGGAACTCCACGACAGCGGTAAACTCGCCCGCGGTGAACTTATCGGTCAGGACGCAGTAATAGCCCGTCTTCTTGATCATGTATTTGGTGCTCTGGGGCTCCTTGAGGTGAATGGCTTTCGTTTCGATGATGTTCTTCGACTTCGTCGTGGCTTCCTTATCGATGATGAACTTGCCAATGTCCGTCTCATTGCAGTAGTTCTTCTGAACAAATGCTTCCTGGCAAATGCCGATTTTCTGGTTGAAACGGAGTGTCAGCCACCCGTAATACTTGTTCTCGGGCTTGTCGAACGAGGGTATCTTACATTCTCTGCATCCGGAGTCTCACGAACGCCAATCAAGTCCTCGTCTTTCCACTCGAATATGACCAAGCTCACGGTAGGATCTTGATCCGCTGGCGCTTCCTTCGGGATGAACATGACGTTGATGTAAGGGTCAACAGGTCCGCCCCAGGCACTGCGGCTGTACATGCCTGCGTTATACCATTATCAGTATCGTGTCGTGCATAACAAGTACGCTCTCTAGCCACTGTCGGAATTACCTGAGCATCTCTGTCTGTTCTCGTCCGTTTGGTCCTATGGCAGCGAGGTCAAATTAGCTTCTAATGGCACCGGGCTAGGTATGTCGCAATCATTGCTTCAAAATAGGAGTCTTACCATTTTCACCTCCAGAGCATTAGCCGCCCAGAGGGACATGCCCAGGACGGAGGCATAGAGCCAGGCCTTCATCTTGAGGACAGGTACTGTAGGCCGGAAGATTGCGACGGAGAGTAGGTATTTAAGGTTTGGTAGACTAGAAGTCGAGGGGAAGCGATCGCTGCGTGATGCTCGCCTTGGGTGTCAAGCTCCAGCCAGCTCTATCTACGACGATGTTACTGAGACGATGATCGCGTGTAGCATGCCGAACCGAAAGAGGGCATGCGACTTGGATACGGTTGGATAATGGCGCTGAAAGATCGTGGAATTCAGCAAATCCGGCCAATTCGGATACGTTGCACGGAGACGGTGTTGAAGGGAGCTTGTAGCAGATGGAAGTCTGTCAGTGCCAGCCTGGCAGACAGGAACCGGACCTTGCGCGAAACTTGCAGCGTGAGGGAGGTGCGTGCCAAGCTCCGAGGTACCTACGTACGCTTACTGCTGGAACTTTCAACACATGGAGAGTTTCATTGGTCAGTACGCCAGGGAACACTGCGCTACTGGTTTCTACGCAGAGCTGCTAGTTGAAACATAGGTACCTTTCTGCGTCTTTAGAGGTAGATATCCCTAAAAAAGGTAGCTTAGGTACCCGAAGGTAAGGGGACCTACCCGTCAGGTAGGGAGGACAGCTTGCCTCAGCCCCATACCTACATGGAAGGTACAAGGTGCCACCGCACGGCAGCCACCCCGCTGGGGCCGACGAAGGAAGCCACCCTGCCAGGATGTCGCTAAGGTCGTCGTCCCTCCTGCATGATTACTACCTGGTGAAGATTCCGATCGCGTTTCCTGGCTCAGATTCAACTTCTGCAATTATTGTATGGCGTGGCTACGACGAAACAACCACGTCTTTCACATCGCGGCTCCGCCATCATAAATCTGTCAGCCTCATTCAACAGCGCCTAAGGACCGACTCCCATTAACGGCGACAATGGGAAAAAACACAGACAAGCTCTACATCACCCATTCTGAGTGGTCATCATCGGATGCCTACTCTGCCAGCGCCGGCGCTAATGTCAACTCACGGTCGCGAGGCTCCTTTCGCCGTTTGCCCTTCAACTTTTGTGCCGCCAGCCTGCAGCCCTTCAAGAATCCAGTCTGCACCAAGGATGGTACCATCTTCGACGTCGAAATCATCAGCTCGTGGTTGGATAAACACAACACAAATCCTGTCAATGGCGAGCCATTGAACGCCAAAGACCTGATCAAGCTCAACTTCTCAAGGAACGCCGAAACCGATTCAAGGAGCGCAGGCTTAAGCGATGGCCAAGGCGATCTGATCGATCCCGTCACCTTCAAGGTCTTCACTGATAACACTCACATCGTTGCGATTCGACATGGAACATATGCAAACGTCTTTGCCTGGGAGACCGTCGAACGAATGAATATCAAGGCGAAGAACTGGCAGGATCTTGTTGACGACGAAAAGTTCACAAGAGCGGATATTATTACCTTGCAGGACCCCCAGAACGCTGCTAGCAGAGACTTGAGCCAGTTCAAATACCTCAAGGATGGCGAAGATGCTATCCTGAGCAAAGAGCAAGAGGAAGAGCGGAAGAATGGCAACGTCAACATCGATGCGCTGGGCAGGATTGGTGACAAGGTTCTGCGCGCAAAGGAGGCTGTCGAGAAAGCGAGGAAGGAACGCGATGGAGGTGCCGACGTCAATCGCTCTTCAGGTGCCGTTGTGAAGGCGACATCTGCAGCACAAAGGAAATCCATGGTAGCGGAGAAGAAGATCCCGTCAAATGCTGCAGTCTACACCAACGGCAGAGCTGCCGCCAGTTTTACCAGCACAGGCCTCACGCCCGAGACGAGTGGCGAGAGGGCACTCTTAACTGATGAAGAGTACATGCTCAAGCCGAAACGGGTCAAGATCAAAGGATATGTCCGCATAGAGACAAACTTGGGCGACCTCAATATCGAACTGTATCCGGAATACGCACCTCGCGCGGTATGGAACTTTACGAGGCTGGCCCAGAAGGGCTATTATAAGGGTGTCACCTTCCACCGAAACATCAGAAACTTCATGCTCCAAGGAGGCGATCCTTCAGGCACAGGCAAGGGCGGCACCAGCATCTGGGGAAAAAACTTCGAAGACGAGTTCGACGGGCCTTTGACGCATGATGCTCGCGGCGTTCTTAGCATGGCAAACAAAGGTAAGAATACCAACTCAAGCCAGTTCTTTATCATCTATCGGCCAACGAAGCACCTGGACAACAAGCATACTGTATTTGGCAAGGTTGTTGGTGGGCTCGACGTGCTTTCCAAGATGGAAGACGTTCCCACTGACGGATCCGACAGACCTCTCAACAAGATTGTCATGAAAGACGTCGTGGTCTATCTGGATCCGTTTCAGGAGTTCCTCAAGGAAAAGAGTGAGATTGAGAACCTGGAGAAGAAGAGGCAGGCAATAGCCTTGAGTGGAGGTACCGAAGACGACAAGACAACGTGGACGGGCAAGCGGATCCGAGCCGACGGTACCGTGGACAGTGGGAGTGCCGGTGCTGGCGTGGGCAAATATCTGAAGTCGCAGGGCTCCGCTGCTACAGATAGGGGGACGACCGACCTGGATACTTGGGAAGAACCGGCCAAGAAGAAGTTTAAAAGTGGCGGATTCGGCAATTTCGATAACTGGTGAGACATCGTGGCCGAGTTGACGCTGATATAGTTTAAAGGCTACGGGACGAAGAAAAGACATGATACCCCTTTTGACCATCATAACGCGCATCCAAAGCTCTTGGGATCATCTGCGCACCATCTATGTATATGTCTATTGATACAAAGGCAGCAAGCGCTTGAGCCACGCCTCACTAAGCTCTCCAGCTCTATACGATCAAGTCGGACGGTATATGTGTCTGTGGCATCCGATTCCAGGATACATCAGACCACGGAATATACACCTCCTTGTCCCGAACCATGAGTGCCACTCCATGAGCCTGCATCAACCCCGACTCTTCGAGTATCGCTTTCAGTCGGTCGACGACAAAGTCTTTGACTTCTTGCGTACAACACGATGAAACTCCAACCAAGTACAACGGCCACACAATCGTATTGCTTGCGGAGGCAAGGGTCATGAACCGCTCGGCATCGTTGCTGCGGCCCTTCGCGTAGGTTGGGTCTTGCAGAGTTGGGCCATTGAAAGACCTCGGGCTGGGCGGCGTTTCAGCCACGGACGACGGCGAAGACGACGATGCAGAAATCGAAGGGGATCGCACAATTCGAGACGGAGACTTCGTTACTGGTACAATGGCTGACGGTGAGCCGCCGCCGCCTCCTCCAAACAGAGCGTCTCTAAAATTGACAACGCCGAAATGTTGAGGAATGCTGGCCAACACAGTTTCGCAAAGTTTCTCCAACAATTCGACAGACTTTGCCAGCTGTAATTTTGCTTCGTACGGCCAGAGCATAATGTGTTGACCCTGAAAGCATTTGAAAAGCTCCCCGAGGATGGTCTCGTGTACCATCATTCTTATCGATCGGACGCCGTTCCAAGTCGCAGCCAGCCCCAGCGTGGCGTATACATCACAGCGGTGACCATCGAAAACGGCTGGGTGTGATGTCGCAAGCCTCACAGATCTGTATCTCCACGTTTCAGGCAAATCGGCAATGACATCCGCGAAGTCTTGATCGACGTTGGACAGTTGGTTGATGATATCGGCCGTCTGGTTAAGTTTTCCGCTGTTAATGTCGTACCGCAGCTGCATAACCTTGTATATGGGACCAGATAATCGCCAGCCAGGGTCAGTTCCGCCCGATAGCATACCCAGCTGGTTCCGGAGGTCGATGAGAGACTGCGGCATGGGCATGTCTCTCTGCATACAGTTGATGAGGACGATCTGCGTCAGCATCATGAACATTCGTGCCCCCGCTCTAGTTGCGAACTGGCCAAGGCCTCGCATCTTGGCCAGAGCAGAGGCACCGTTGAGATGGTTTTGCCATGCCCTCACTGTCTGGTTCGTACGACCGCTTAACATTTCGTAGGTCCCCAAAACAAGAATGGACAACATGGTGGTGTCCTTGACAGCTTCAACTGGGTCCCTTAGAGCATCATTTGTCATTTTGAGAGCAGCGCCGTAGCTCCGACGCGACCAGTCCATCATTTCTGCACACATTGTCAGGTGCGAAAGGCCTGCCAAGCCCACAGCAGCTATACTAGCCATCACGCCGTCCGCCTGTCGACTGGGCAGCATGCTGGCGGGGCGCCAGACATCAAAGATGAAGTCATAATTTTGATGGCAGGCATTTTCGTCCATGGAGACATAGCGAGAGAAGAAAAAGGCCGTGCCACGTTCCTGGTATGAGGGCGACAAAGAGTACAGAGGCCTTGCGCGTGGTGCCATTGACCAAGGCCCGTCTTCGTCGTCCTCGCTATCGGAGGAGGAGGAAGACCATTGGATCTGCCGTGGCCGATGCCTAATAGTCATATTCTGCATCGTGGTATCCATGGGACGAGGTGGATATTGGCGCCGAACGCCGGGTCTCACGGCCGTTCCAGGAGGACTCGGATCGGAGCTGTCGTGGTCGGTGCTTGCTATTACATTTTCGGAGGACGATCCGGCACTCGAGGCCTGTGCATTCTTTAATCGACCCCTTGCCTTCGTTTTGGCAGCTTTTTTGATGACGTGAGAACTCTCATCTCGGAACATGAGGTCGACGAGGTTTCGGTAGCCAGGACATTGTTGCTGTCGCTTCTCACACTGGCCACAGCCGGGCTCCTTTTGATCACACTGTTGGCGTCGTCATTAGCCTAAAGTCAGAAGACTCTCCCGCCGTTCGAGAAGACGTTGCCTCCCCGCCGACGTGCAAGAAACCTTTGCCAATCAAGGACGAGAGCAGACCTAACTGCACGAGTTGCGGAATATCTACAACAAGGATAGGGAACTTACCCTGATCTTGCGCTCACGACAGTTGGAACAGCCTTTCGACGGCTTACCGCAGTAGACCATGCTGGAGACACGGGTATCTCTCCCAGAGCAGCCAAGAGGACCAGAAGAAAAACGGACAACTAAAAAAGCCACGATGCGAGGTTGAGAAGGGACCAGTGCTAGGTTAAGAGCTGAGTAATGAGATGGGTCGCTTCATGTGGGTGCCATGATCGGATCAGATCATGACACTGGATCTACTCCGTTATGCAATGGCGATCGAAGCGGGGAGGTGCGAGGCCAAGACGACTGGGCAGAAGATTTAATTTGGGGAGCAAACCGCGGGCAGCCCGATGGAAGAGGGGAGGGCAAAAAAAAAAAAAACAAGACGGTCACATCCTCTCAACGGGAGAATCCTCCCGGGTCCTTTGGGGTCGAGAATGTGAGATGACGGACTGCGGCGGCGAGGAGGGGTGGCAGGTTTCCTTGATGTGGTCGATCAGGAGGGACATTGGCTGCAGTCTGCAATTGGACGTTGGACGTGTAAGTGGCACACGCTCACACGCCTCGTTGTGTGCGTGAGCCTGTGAAGGTATCCGTACGGCGAGCCGCGAAACGTTCTCTGGACGACTGAAGGATGGGTGAGGAGAGCAGATGTGGGGGAGTGAGGAGACAGAGAGTTGAGGTAGGTGAGTGAGATTGGAGAGTGAGAGTAAGAGTGAGCCTAAGCCTGGCCTCCTTCTCCCTCCCGTTTCCTGTAAGGACGGAGAGACGACCTGAGAGCGGGATGTGTGTGCGTTATCGCCTTATTCGCCTCCTCTCCGCGGCACCGGCACGCCGCACCAGCAGCTGTCATCTTTTGGTTTGCAGCAGGCCAGCAGTAGAAGCACCTCACTTTCCGCGGGTTGCACTGTTGCACATCGTCTTTTTGGCCGCGTCTAGGCCCTTTCGGAACAAACGACCGACCGGGGGCTTCGCGGGACTGGAACCCCTCGGAGGAGCTACTGCAGTGACGGACAGTTCGTGAGCGCCGAACTGGGGCCTCCTGGGGGTCTTCTGGAGCCCAGTTAGGTGCCGAGGTTTGATCCATATTGCGTTTTTATTGATCTTGTTCAGACTTTTTGTCACCGGTCCCAACGGTCGAGCAGCAAATTATAAACCATCCGTCCGCGGTCCGGGGTCCTGTTGCCGCCTTTCCGTGTTTCTCGAATCTCTCTCGGGAACAATCCAAGGGCCGTCCCCGATCGATCATCGGTCTGCACGTACCCCTTTAATTCCGGCATTATCCTCTGTCGTATTACAGTCTCTGTGACTCGTCGTCATCGTCATCGCCATCGCCAGTCGAGACTAGAACTCGTGGAATACCTTCAAGGAAAAGGGAGCGCGCATACGTACGAATCTTCGTACGAGTATCCGTATGTCGCCCATGTCACCTCCAGGCTACGGGAATGGCTGCAGCTCGCGTGCGGCATGCATCGAATAGGGCTTCCAGCGGAGCTGAGGCCAGGGTTGAAATTGTTTTAGCTCCGTTTTCCCAGCCAAATGCCCAGCCCTTTTCCTGCGAAATTAGTACGAATACAGCCTACTGCCGCCGGCTGCATGCTGATTTCTAACGGTCTCTCCCAATCCCGTTCTTCGTTCAATTCCGGTGGGATCCACGAGAAAGAGAGAGACCGAAAGACAGCGGCCTAAACCTGCATGACTGACCCACGCCTTCGCTTCCTTCAAGTTCCCTCTGGGACTCTGCATCCTGCGGTGCCCGCCGAAAGGTGACTGGTCGCTTTCCGGGGCGGCACGCCGTGATCTGGCAATCTGTCGGGTTCGCTTCCCTGTCGCAGCTCCAGAGGGAAAAGGGCTGAATCGAAAGCAAGCCCTGTCCAAGTTCCTCGAACCATTTCTGCTGTCAGAGGTGTCACCGCAGAAGAGACATACGGATGCAAACTACCTGCCTGCTATTGTGTCTATACTCCGTACAATTGATTGGGTATTCTCGGAGGCCTCGTCACCAGTGACCGGGTCCGAGTCGACCAAACGCTGCGTTTCCTCCCGCTGCATTGGTCTACTACTGCAGAAAAAAGCAACGGACCCTGAATGTTGTCTAAGACACGGACAGACTATTCGTTCAAGTTTCAACAGCGATGACGCCGCCAGGATTGGTGTTCCCCCATCGAGCCTTAGATGGAGCCCGAATGTCTGCCATGGCCAGAGACATGCGGAGCATTGTCGCCGGCGACACAAACAAAACAACACAGGTCCTGGTCGGGACTTTAAGCTCGATATTTGATTAATTGATTGAGAAAGAATGATGATATGTGACATGTGATGGTTACATATGCGCACAACTGTCTGGTATCTACGAATATCCACGCCAAAATGCAATCCAATATCGATCGATCGACCTATTACACCAGGGCTTTCACACGGGCCCACAGCCTCTGCCTCTTGCTCTTGGTATTGCTCCGGCGGCTGCGAATGAGAGAGACGTATCAGACACAATTACAAATTCTTGAGGAGGGAGGGGGGGTTTGCATCGAGATACGGATGTCAACCACTTACAGTTCCTTTTGCGACTGCGCTTCTTCCTTTTGCGGTTGCTTTTCTGACGTTGTCGCAGGAGCAGTTACAGCCTCTTTCGTTGCAACCTCAGTCGGGCCCTCAGCCGCAGCAGCAGTCGTACCATTGCCGCCGCCGATGCCAACGGTGAGAAGCTTCGGGTTGGAGTCGAACAGCGAGCCGGACTGGTCGGTGCCGTTTGACGAGCTGACATCGTCGTAGGGGAACGCATAGCCGCGGCCGTCGGGGCTGACCTCGTGACAAATGCGCGAGTAGTGGTTCGTCCGGACGTCCTTGTAGTAGTTGGCCACGCTTTCGCCCTCGGGCTGCCGGTCATTGATGAGCAGTGTCGACCGGTTAAAGGCCGCCGCGATGCGGGCGCCGATGGCCCCCATCTCAGCCTGGTTATTGGGGTACCCGCCAAACGGCCCCGTGCTGCAGCTGAAGATGTCGCGGGCGGCGGGCTGGGCAAAGGAGCCGACGGAGCCGAACGTCAGGAGATTATCGGAGCCCACGCGGCCCTTGACGTCGCCCCATTCGGCCTGCGTGTTGACGGTGAGGTCGGCGGAGCGGTACTTGTCCCATACGGCGTCCACGTAGGGCTGGTAGTACCCGTTAAAGAGGTTCTGGTTCATGACGATACCCGAGTTGGGGCTCAGGGCGCGCAGGTTGGCGGACCCGTCCGCCGTGCGCACGACGAGGTTGCTCCAGCCAGCGCCGTCGGCGGCATCTTGTGCCTTGAGCTTGTCGCAGATGGTGTCGAGGGCGTTGCTCGGGAACCCTGGCACGTTGGTGACGGTGCCGGCGTCGTTCTCGAGCGTCAGGGACACGGGGATGCTGACAAAGTCGACGTACGAGATGTTGACGTAGACCTGGAAGCTGTTGAAGGTGAACTCGCAGAAGCCCCAGTTGAGGTTGTAGTTGGGGTCCGCCGGGTTGGTCGCCGAGGGCTCCACCACGGCCGGGCCCGGGTTCAGGAAGAACTTGAGCGGGCCGTCCCGAGAGAACCATATGCGGCCGCCGGCGATCTGGGGAATGGTCAGCTTCTTCGTCGACCCCGGCGCGCCGAGCGGGATCGCCGTGTCGGCGCCGACGTCCTGGAGGATGTCCGAGGGCGAGCTCGGGTAGTAGCCGGTGACGCCGTCGGCCTGGAGGAGGAAGACGGCATTGTTGCGGTTGAGGTCCAGGCCGGTTACGTAGGCGTAGGCGTTGGCGGAGCCCGTATTGTTCTGGAGAACGATATCGAGGGTTGATCTCGTCATGGCTTCTTCTCTTACGCCTTGTTATGTTGTTGTGTTTTCTGTTCTATGTCTCTTCTCTGGTGGGCCAAGGGGTGTCAAGCTATTTTCCCGAAAAAGGATGACGATTCAAGCCTTTTTATCATCCAAGACGGCATCCCCTCCGGACCCAAGCTTGATGGGCCCGTACCTTGGAACGTCGACAAGCGCGACTAATACCTCTTAGCCAGGGTGGCCATGTGCAAGTTTTCTTTTGGGCCCCCCTGCCCTCCAACAGGATTTACAGGTGACTATTGGGTGACTCGGAACTGGTTATAAACAGCCCAGGACGGATACGCGACGCGCAAGTGTGATGTGTTGGATTCTCCCTCCCTTTGCTGGCACGGGCTGGATATGACGGAATCGTCGACATGGATATGCGGGACTAGTTCGCCTCTTGACCCCACTAGCAATGGACGTGTTGTCTTGCCCGGTTTTTTTATTTGGTGACGAGACGGCTCCACGCTTCGGCCGGCAGACGGTAGACCCCTCATAAGGCTCATCCTCGTGGTCTTGGGTGAGGTGTTATGCCTTAGTTTTCCAGGACTGGTGGAGTGTAAGAAAGCAGCGCAGTTCTTTTTCACACCCGTCTCGTGTAAGTGAGAGGAGGGTGAGTGCGGATGCAGACAGGCATTGCTCCTTCAGAAGGGCATCGGTAGTTGTCCAGATATTCACCCGCAAAGCACTCACGGCACTCAAACCCGAGTAACTTACCAATATCTGCATTCTGCAGTCAGGACCACAAAGCCTGGGGTAATAATGTCTCGGCCCGGGCTCTTTTCTCGAACCCTTTGTGGGGTGTGGGAACCGATCACCCGCCGCTCGGGATGGATGAAGAGACTTCAACTTGACTCGACAGAGTAATCCTGGAGGTTGCGCCCCAACTCCCGGCGACGCTACTGAACAGCTGCGGGAGCCTCCGAGGCGGACGGTGAGAGGCCAGTTAGTCGTCGATCACTCCTTGTTCATGTGCCTTCTTTTTGGGGTATGGAGGGGGGGCTAAAGGGCATGCATGTGCGGGCGGCTGATCCCCCTCCAAGGAACAGTTTTTGGAGACGCGTTTTCCTGGGGAATCGCGAGACATTCTTGAGTGCCGGTGGGTTAGATCGTCTGGCTGTCAAAAGTTGGGTCAGATGACGGGCTCCTCGACTACATGTGTTGAACCCATTGCTTACTGCTTAGCGCGGAATAGCAATGATTCGCCTCTTTGGGCCCTTGGTGGTCTCGGAAGTGTTGCAATATTAGCTGACGTCTCATACGTCGTTGGTGGAATCCGAGAGAAAATTCCTTTCTGCGACGAACGGTTTGGTCATCCGATCTATCAGCTCCTTTATGGTCAAAGATCCTGCCACATTTGGCTCCCGCCTCATCATGAGAACGGTTCTTCACTTGGGAAACCAAATCCCTTGGCATATCACAGCGTGATGGTTAATCGTCAAATGGCAGAATGTAGTCTTGTAGGAACGAGTAGTGGATATCATTCGTGGTCATCGTAAGTAGTAAAGAAGTAACATCGTCTGATGAACGAAGCGCATGACCATCTGACGGCCTGCCCTCCTTTTCAGGTCAAAACACAAGACCCAGAGACGCCTCATGCTATGCTGGTAGAAGAAAATGAGAATTCGTAAGCCCCTCATTGTCCAAAAAAATGAAGACCGAGTAGACCCAACCTGCCGGGACGAAAGAAGAAGACATAAGGAGGAAGATCAGATGAACCATATCCCCAAAAGGAACAACCCAACGACCAGAGACCACGACGGCGCCTCTAACGTCCCAGCAGCGGCTGCAACACTACCATCACCACTACCACCGGCTCCACCAGAGCCTGGTGTTCCAGAAACGGTCTGGTTGTTGGTCATGTTGGTCTGTTTCGTGAAGAAGAAGTCGGGCGCGTCCGGGATGATACACACGGCGTCCGGCGCTGTCGGGTCCGCGCACCGGCCCTCGTGGTCGGCCTTTCGCGCGTCGAGAGACGAGTTAAAGTAGGCCCTGACGGACGCCACCGTCAAGATGGCATCCTGCTTGGGCGGGCCCCCCGACCAGAGCGGGTTCCCGTTGCTCCAGTGCTGGAGGATCAGGTGGCCCCCTTCCGTGGGCACGGCGCTCCCGCTCATGGAGCCCAGGACTTTACCGTCGGCGTAGAAGGTGACGGCGTTGGGGAGGTAGTCGATGCGGTACTCGTGGAAGTCCGCGGTCGGGTCGAAGCCGAGGTTTACTTTGAAAAAGTTGCCCGTGTCGGCGGCGTTGTAGCCCTTTTCGAGTGAGGCACGGGACTGGAGGACGATGTTGACGGGGTAAGTGTTGTTTGACGAGTTGAATTCTCTTGTGAGGAACTCCATGTCGATCTCTTGTGTGTCATTGTGGTACTGTTCTCGACGTTAGTGAACTCGATTTAAGATGTAAAGGGGGATTTGTGGCAATGGCAACATACCCAGAAGAAGGCAGCACATGTCCCAGCAACATCTGGGATCTTCATCATCGCCCTAAAAGAACCATACTGCACATCCTGACGCGACGAGTCGATCTCCGCGCCTGGCACCAGGCCATTCGTCGTGGCGCTCTCGACAAGAAGCTGCAGTCCGGCGTCGGCCTTTGTCGAGCTGAGCCCGAACGAGCTCGACCCTTCGTGGACGGAGGCGACGTTCTCGGTCATGAACTTTTCTCCCAGGGGCCCGCGGGCGTTTGTGTTCGTCTTGTTGAACTCTTGACGGGCCCAGTCCGTGTTTTTCGTAATGTTCTTGACTTTGGTGAAGTCTGTCTCGATGAGGTCGGTGAAGACCTCCATGGTGCCGGTGATATTGGTGGCATACCCGCATTCGCAGGCCGCGCGTACGAGAGTTGAGAGCAAGCTAGCCGCAATCAGGCACGCTGTTGTAGGATTCCTCATGGTGAATATGTGGTGATATATGTAGATGTGTGAAGTGGGTGTAAGAAAAGATTGTTGTCGGTCTTTACGGGACCTTGTAAGTGACGTGAGGATGTAAATATTTCTACTACTGCCAGAGTAGTACAAGCATCCAAAGTTTTTGACAGAGAAGTAGAGCCAGTCCAAGCACGTCTTTGACACAGTCAAGACATGGAGAGAGGCTAAAGGATGACGAGATGCAGGTGAAGAAAAGGGTGACACCCAGACGAAGATGAGAGTAAGTGAGGCGTGAGTGGAAGAATAGAGACGGAGCAACGGCGCAAGATGGAACACTACAACACCAACAACAAACGGATGAGCAGGCAGATACAAAAAGCCGAAGGATGGACAGGATCATCGGTAGACTATGTAGTAGCTCTAGAGAGCGGAGGGCCATGCAGTGCAACCAAACCATCGTGCCGGTGCCTCTGGCTGAACGGGGTGCTTCATCTACGGGTGCCGAAAATACAACCCTCCCCTCCAACTTTCCCAATGTAGGCACACATCACACACACACCCAAGGCCCTCCCTAGACGGACTGGTTCAACGGACGGACTCGAAGTCGGGAGCACCAAGGGGAGCGGCTGGCAAAAGGTTCAAAGGCAGACAAAGGAACAGCCCTCGACGTTCGACACGACGTTCGAACATAACGGCATCGTTGTCAACCGTTGTTCAAGTGGAGGGAAACAATAGTCCCATCAAAGATCAACCATGTGGCCCTGACTGACGGCTGGTGTCTCAAGCTTCCCGTCCGCCATCACCGCGATGCCAGAAGCGGCTTTGAAACACAACGCGGGTAAGAATAGCGACTGCATGGAACAAAGAAGGGGAGTCGTTGGTAAGAATGGGCAGAAGGACTTCCCAAAAGTGTGTGTGTGTAGGTAGGTATGTGTGTGTCGACTGTCCCCCGTTCAGTTCTCTTCGGGTTGGGTTGGGTTGGAAATTTGGCTCCGGCGGCAGCCAGCCACATATGGTGTTACGTCGTGTCGCTTCGACGTCGTATCGTGTGCCCTGCAGGAACCCGCGCAACACACCGTACTCTACCTTGGGATTGGACGGATCATAGAGTGCCGTAGCAGTGCTGGAGCCCCAAGTCGGGCTTGGAGACAAGACCAAAGAAGCTTTTCTCACTGCCCCCAACCCTCCTCCTCTCTCTCTCTCTCTCGTGTCAAGGCATGGGCGGGGTGAGTGAGAGGCCAAAGCCACTAGGCTAGAAACCCCGCCGATGGGCTGCCGGCTGTCTCAGAAAGAAGAAGACAATGAAAGCAGCTCCGCTGGCCCATCAGCTCTCAAGAAAGAGGCTCTGTCAAATTCAAAGAGCATGCCCTCTATCGTCTGCTTTCTCTGGGGGTTACAGTCTAGCTGTTGGGGGCTCAGCATATCGTGGAATTCACGAGGCAGTTCTCTTGCCGCCACTTCAGCTATCCCGAAATCTATTTCGTCTTGATCTGATTCACTTCAATCGACGCTACCGGACATTTGTTTGATGACCTTTGCACAGAAAATGGCCATGTGCCGCAGAAGCTGAGCGATTGCACTTGGGACTCGGTTGGCGACAGATTCAGAATACAACATGTATTAGATTACAAGCCTCGTGTCCCATGAGAATGCAAGAAGGTGAGGAAACCGGACGTGATGTCGCTTGATATCGTTTGCCATGCAGCGGCTGTAATCCCGTCAGCAACTTTTGTCACGGTACGCTGTCTCGAGGGCCCTCCCTCATCAAGCGACTTTTCTGCACCCTCCAGTATCGTGGGACGAAACCCATGGCTGCACTGGCTTCTCATGACACGTCCGCTCATCTTCTGGAGACTGCCCATTAGCGTCCAGCCCCGGCTCCGCTCGACCTACCTCATCCTTTCCCAAGTTCTTTGTTGTGGCCTACGCCCAACATCAAAAGTTGATCTCTTTGTCGCCAAGCTACCTAGACTTTCTGGTGGGGGAGAAAGGCACTCTAGCGCGTATGGTGGAATGTATGATGGAATGTTGTCATCAAGCAAAGGCGTAGATACATAAACACCTCAGAGTCGCCTCACTCTGGTATGCGGGAAGTTCATCATGTAATGCCAATGAGAAGTGATATTCATAAATATGCTGAACCGACAGGAAATTATTTATACACTTGTGCTCAAGAACCAGCTCCACACCTTTTTCTCCCCCGTCTCTGATTAAGCCAAGCTTGTTTGGTTCTCTTGTCTTAAGAGTACACATTCAAGCCAGCCATTGTGAGCATCTGTCTCCCATACAATCCGCTCATGCCAAGACAAATTTACACAGCAGATGATCAAATCAGAGTAGACGTAAATTCCAGGATAAGCAAATACTGCAATCTGTATATCGAACAAGGTATCTGAGCAAAGCGAAGCGAAAAAAGAGCAATGATAGGAAACGGCGCATAACAAAAGCAGGAGAGAGAACAGAGTAGAGATCAACAAGCAGACGCAATATCAGCAGAGAAGAAAGGACGAAGGAGAAGAGAAAGATGAAATGGATATCAGCAGCACAAAACATTAGTATGAGCTAATAGAACAAACGCGCAACAGTCATCACCAAGCCCACCCTGGACCAGCCAACAGTGCCCTGAGGCAGTCTCTGGGATGCGTGAGCAGGGCCCGAATTATCCCAATATCCTAGGGTTGCTTTACCCAGGAATCCGTGCCGAACCCAATGCCCCCCCCACCCTTCACCGTTTACCTGCCCCGTTGTTGCCGTGACCATGTCCAATGCTGGGACGCTCAAAAGGAAAACCAAGCTAAGGAAACAAGATACTAAAAAGACCAGCTGAGCAGGCCGGTATACGCGTAATAATCATCCCAAAAATTCAAAAGCCTCTCTTCTGTGACGCCTGTCCCCTGCAAAGTCAAGGGGAATAAGCCTCAGACCGAGAGGGAGTGTTCGATCAACCACTCCAGATCCGTTACGCCGAAACCCATCAGACGAAGAGGTATATGCCAAGGAGAAAAAGAAGCGCAAGGAAAAACCATTCAGGAAAGGAAAGACATAGGAAATCGTTCAATCATCTTGTGACTAGTACACGCTATCCTCATCGGCCCCTTGCGAGATCATCGAAGGGGTCGACACGCTCGAGGAAGCTTCCATTTCGACCTGGTAGCCGACGAGTGCTTGTGCGTGCAGGCGAAAGGATTCTCCCATAAGTCGGGTGATTCTAGAGTCTTGTTAGCCATCTAGTCTTTCGTAGAAGGGTGATATCAGTCACTTACCCCCAGACCACGACCTCGTCCAACATGCTGCCCCACAGACGGGCAACAACAGAGCTAAGCTGGGAAGCATAGGCCTCGTCGAGGTCCTTGTCGAAGAGCTGTCGAACCTTGTTGTACATGGCCAGTTCCTCCTCTGTAGCTGGCTCTTCGTCATGTTCCAGACGATAGAGCCATAGCGAGAGGACAATCATAAGGTCAAGACCACACAAGGCATGCTCGACGCTCCAGTTGGTCGGCGAAGTTCGTGCAACCCAGCGCACGCCTTGGACCACGGCAATCTCGATACAGTTGTAGCATTCCTGAATGACCTTGATCATCTCACTGGAGCGCTTCACGCGATCCCGCGCGGCTGACATGGCAGCCGCGACCTCATAGGAATCGTGGTAGCGCAGCGCTTCTTGGACTGATTTCAGATCAACTTCCAAGCGAGTCCTGGCGTTCCGGTACAAAGCCTTGGCATTGAAGATGAGAGGGTGTCCCTTGTGAGGGGCACTCAGTGGGACTGAAACATTCTCAGGCTCGCAGAGCTCGCAGGACTTCTCCCACGTCTCCAGCGCGAGTCTGAGCTTGTACTCGGTCACAACATCCTGAAGTGCCTCGGGACTGCGCTTGTGGTACCACACTTCGAGGAACAGGGCGTTGATCATTACCCGCGACGCAAACGCGCTGTACCTGAGTGTCTCTCCCTGGAACAGGTTGTCGTGCGCCTCCATGAAAGTGACCACAGGCGATGCCTTCAAATGCTCGTGCCAAGAGGCCTCGTCCGTGACCTTGAGGTTCCAGAGTCCCTCGGTGGAAGGGAGCTGCAAGTCCTCAAACTCGTTGAAGCTAATTGCTGGTGTGTGATTGTACGTCAAGGTGAGCAGGCCAAAGAAGATGTAAACTGCGTAGTAGGTGCGGCGGCAACCTTCATCCTCGATCCACTCGCTGCGGGTAGGCTGAGCGCTGTTGCGGGCTTCCTGACGAAGCTTGAGCTCGTAGCGGTTTCCCGCAACCATGTTGGCGAGCAGACTCTTGATGGAACATGCCCATTCGAGTCCCTTCGGGTCACCACTCCAGCTGGCAAAAATCATATTGAGAAGCGAACCCTGCATCGTCCACAGAGGGCACTTGCGCGAGCTGAAGTTCTCCTTGTTCTGCAGGAACTGGTTGACGAGCACCTTGGATCCAATGTGCATCATGTAGGCCTGGTCTTGATCAAACGCATAGAGCGCACCGATGCTCAGCACTGCGAGAAGCAGAGCCGGAGACACCTTGGTCGAGTCAAAGGATGCAGGATGCAGGAATGGAAGATGGTGGTGGAACAGCCCAAAGTATGTTGATAAGAATCGGTTCAGGGAGGCCAGGTTGGGGAGGCGGAAACCGTCGGGGATAGCATGCTCAGTGTCTTGCGCGCGGATGTTATCGAGAATCTGGTTGCGTTCATCGTCGCTCGCAACCTGAGGGGCACGGAATCCAGCAGTTGACAAGGTCGCCTCGGTGACGAACGGGCTTTGCGGCACAGGCGTACCAGCTTCGGAGTTTGGCAGTGAGTTGATCATGGACTGCAGCGCCGGAACGAGGCCGTTGCAAGTCTGTCCGTTGATGGGCGGAAGCTGAACGTTGCGAGGTTGCATGGTGTTGGTGCTGTTGAAAGACTGCTGAGACTCGAATGAGCCAGATGCTGATGATGCGATGGAGTGCGCCTTTGCTTCTGACGATTGAGACATGAAGCTCTCCCACTGGGGAACAGGTATGGCACCCGAGGGGTAGGTGGCAGACGTATCCATGGCGTGTGGCGAGTAGGGCATCGATGGACTGCCTCCTGCGCGTGCGCCGGCGGCGGCCTTGTGTTGGAAGTCTGCAACCAGCATGGCGGCTGTCTCAAGATCGAAGGTGCCATCGTGAGAAGCGGCTTCAATCTGGTCTATCGCGGATTGGTCAAGCATGGGTGTCTTGGCTGGGCCGCCGATAGCTCTCGTCTTCGGGCCTGAACGTCTCTTGCCATCGCTGTGAAGAGGAACACCTCCGTCTTTGGCGTGCACGGTACGATCGTGACGAAGGAGAAGATCGCGTCTGACGAATGTGCTGCGGCACTTCATGCACTTGAAGGGGCGCTCTTTGGTGTCTAGTAGAAGGAGTTGAATTAGCAAGATGAGTCGAAGTGAAGACAACTGGATATGAATGTTGCTTTGCGTGGAATTGTTGTCGCATGATGCATCGAGGCAAGGTCGAAAGGAGGGGTTGCTTAGTGTTGCGAGGGGTTCCCAGTCGAGCGGAAGCTTTGGGATGTAGGAGGAGGAGGGGAGAAGAGGGGTTCCGGGAAGATAGGTGCACTTACGGGATCGTTCATGTCTGCTGCGGTGCTCACTCCTGCTGAAGGCTCTGTTGCAGAACTGGCACTTGTACTTGCGTTCCGGTGCGAGTGAGGCTTTTCGTGAGGCCGGCGTCGAAGATGCTGACGTCGGAAGGACTGCGACGCTTGCGCCAGGCATATTGAAGGCTCGGATGGTGGTCGCGATTTTTGAAGATATGTCGGGTGGCTGGGCCAGCTGTTGCGACGACGACGACGACGGCGACGACCAGGTATAACGGCTTGAACGATGTGCACGGCGGCTCTCTTGTTGTTGAAAACGATGGTTGAAATCGCCCGGCTCCTAGGGTTTCCTCCTCGCTCGGCGCGCTCCCGTGGAGTTTAAAGTGTGTCTTGATTAGACTGGTAGATGTTGCTGGTCATTTGGTTCGATATTCTGGTCATAGGAAGGACGTATGTGTGGTTGAAGGGAAAAAGCTGGCGAGTAGCCAGTGTTGAAGCGGCGTGTCTAGAGGCGACAGGCGCGCTTGAGTGGTGATGATGGGCCGGGAAAGGCGAAGAGTGCGCGCGTTGGGTTGCGTGTTGGAGATGGATGATGATCACGAGAGTGGGAGAGAAAAACGGAAGAGGGGGAATCGAAGAAAAAGTAGGAGGGGAGAAGAAGAGGAAAAGAGGCGTCTCTGGTGAGAACGGTGGGGACACTGGACTGCGACAGTGGGAGGGACTTGGTGAATTGGAGGGGGTGGACACATTGGATAGGAGGGGAGGGGGGGGGGAAGGGAGCGCAAGAGAGCACGAAAGAGAGGGGAGGGGGCCCAGACAGGGCGCAGAGAGCAGAGCAGAGAGAGAGAGAGAGTGAGAAGAGAGGGGAGAGACCGGAAGGACGACGATGGCCCGAAGCTGGAAAATGGAAGAGTGACAGGTACATTGGACGAAGTACCTTTCCCCCCGTCTCTTGGGTGTCCTCTCCCGCCTCACCTCACTTGGAACAGGCGGGAAAGAGGCGGGCAGCAGCAAGTGGCACGGTACGTACTGCCGGATGTCTTCTATCGATGGTTCTCTGCCAGGTGGGTAAATACCTGAGGAAAGGTAGGTACTTTGATAGCTAAGGTGGAAAAGTCGAGGTGGGTTGGGTAGGTAGGTAGGTACCTCCTTCAGCTAATCAGATGTACCCAAGGCGATGTATCTCACATGTAGGGTTCCTCAGGCAAGCACAGGTAAGGAAGGTCGACATAACAACCTAAGAGGTACATCCGGCTATAGCTCTTCCTCCCCTTCTTTTTTTTTGTGTCTTTATTTATTCATCTTAATCCAAGTACATTGGACCCCACTGCGACTCGCTGAGATGGATGAAGGAGGGAGGAGGGGGAGGGGAGGAGTGGGAGGGCCACAATGCACACATCACAGAGAGAGGGGAGGGAAGAAGGACGGGAAGGGAGGGATTAGGAAACTGGAACGGGCTCCAGTGTTTGTTCACCGGGCCACCAGAACAGCAGAACAGATCCGACCTGGGCCTGCTGGGCCTGCTCCATCAGAATGAGCAAGGGAGGGATGTGTGAGTTGGGATTCGAACTGGAGGTGCTGGGCGGCGGGCCATTATCCATGGGCCTGCTGGCCGAGGATGTAGTGGAGAGGGGGGGGGGGGGGGAGCCCTGAAGTGGGACTGGATGAGTTGACCTGAGGTATGTACATACCTAGGTACCTAGCTAAGATACCTGAGGTTTGGGTAGATGGGTGAACGACAGACCCCCCTGTCGTTTACCTACCAGGCGGCCTGCCAGCGACACAGCAACCGGCAACCAGCCAACCTGTAACCCCGAACGAGCAGGGCGAGCGAGCGAGCATGGCAAGGCAAGGCCGCAAAGCAGGTGCGCCAGTGACTACTCCATACACGTACCTTACCACCGCGCCGTCAGAGTCCACGTCCGCGGCCAGCTGGAGGTCACGAGTGAGTGGGAGTGGAGAGGGGCAACCCGCCACGATACGAATAGAAGGGGGGGCAGACTCGGGAGAAGAGGAGGGGGCCTCGGCGGCGGTGCTTGCGTCCATTGCTGTGCTGCGCTGTGCTGTTGCTTCTTCCTGTGACAACTTACAAGTTCCCACGAGCGAACCATTGAAAGTGAGGGGGGGAAAGATGAGAAAGAGGAGGGACGGCAAGCTGCTGTATGTAGAGGTGATGAGTCCTCCATCCATTGATTGGCTCCAAGGTACCGGATGGATACGTCTGTCTGTCTTTTCATCGGCTTCGGCTTCGTAATTAGGTAGGTACATAGTCTGTCCTTGACCTTCTCCGCCTCCTCTTTTCTTTCCTCCCGTCTTCTTCCACTGCCTCCTCCTGCACTGTCATTCCATGCTGACCCTGTCGTGCTGCTGTTGCTTCCGCTGTCGTTGTATTCGCAACCTCAGGTTGGATGACCTAAGGAAGCAGGAAGGTAGAACCAATGCCGCTGCATCGCTGTTGGCACCAATGCACACTTGCACAGAGGCACGCCGCGCACGCATGCTGTCCACAAAAATAAAAACCACCTGCCTGCCTGCACTCCGAGCAGGGAAGGAGGTACGTACCGGTCCTCCTCACTTTCACAGCAGATGACGGGAGGTAAGGTTCAGGTCGGTTAGCCCTTCCTGGCTCCATATCTACATGAGGTACTTCAGGTTGTACATGCCTACATAACGTCTTTCTGCCTGTAATTCCACAAGTACTCCCGTACCTGACCTGCTGTGCTGTTATGTCAGAGGCGGAATGCAAACACTCTTTTTTAGCTACCTCCCCTATTACGGATAGACTGGTAGGGAACGGGAAGGGAGGGCCGGAGCTATGTAAGCAGGCACTGACGATCCCACTTCCATGTCACTCTCTTCCTTGACTTTGCGCACAAGATACTTCTGGCCTTACAGATAGATACCTCACTGCCACTCTGCATCACGTAGGGCATCCGACTTCAGCTCCAAACATCCAGCTTCAGCTTTCCATTCAGCCTTCAAATGTCTCATTCCAATCACAGCACGAGTCGACGAGAGTCTAAAAGTAATCGAATAACATCGAACCTCGCCGTATCATATTCGTGACCGAGTACCAAAGTTGCCAAAACTCCGAGCCATCTCCACGATCCATCCAGCCCACGCAATTGGTTTGCCTTCGTCCAATTTCCATCAAATTTCTCGGAACCATGAAGGTATGCATCATTGTATCCATACTTGTATAGTATCCTCATCTCGTCTGACACACAAGAGGCGAGGAATCTAGATGGATCGTGTCGCGGCTCGCCATCATCATCACCATCCAAAACAGTTTTAGGGCTCAAGAGACAGACGAACGGATAGGGGCAAATACCAACCACTCAAGCTCGAGAGGGATAATATTTCTGCTCTATTCGTACATACTGTCGCTCACCATCCCATCCCGCTCGACAGAGCAGGGCCCAGTCATCACTGTCTATCCGTATCGGCTGGCCCCCTTGCGGACACGACGCAACATTGCACGTAGAGGATTCAGGGATTGCCAGTAAAAAAATTTGTCGCCAGACTGGGGGGCACAGCTTCCTCTCGCGGCCGCTAATGCTCTGTCTGTCTACATTTAGCAATTACGAGGATGGAATCGATGGATTTGCCTGCCCTTGAGCATGGAGGCATCAAGCCGTCAACAGTACAGGCGTTCGAAGGCGGTACTTGAGCTCACGCAGTGCACCATACCATTACACAAAGTATCGACTATTCATCCCGCCATTGTCATCCCGACCAAAATTACAGCGCTCAGATTTTGTCCCGCGGGATGGTGAAATGGAGCGCACGAGATTTGCAAGGCCTGGCACGCACCCGATCCGTCCGGAGCACAACTAGCCACTTTCAGACACCACGACCCCGGTGTCTAGTACCCATAGAAACATGGCAGGGAAAACCAAAGGGCGGATGGCCGGGTTATGGGACGCTTCAAGGATGTTTGCCGGGGTGCGTCAAGATGTCTAGGGGGGCGTGAGCCCATGGCAAAGAGCCGGTCGATGAGCCAGTTCAGTTGAGCACCTACGAAAACGCACATATAGAGCACTATACACGACTACAGCACACGGGCTAATGGCAAGCGGTGCTGGACTTCCGGGCTATTTAGGGGGGTCCCATTCGGGGTGGACTGGACCAAGGCAGTGGTACGCGACGCTAAGACAAGCACTGATGTGCTGGTCTCAAGTGCCCTGGGCTTGATGACGGGAAGCGTCAAGGGACGATGATGTGGCCGGTTAGGTCATCATCGTTGAGCTTTCCAGAGAACTTGAGGCTCGAGACTGTAGGCCATCCAGCCAGAAGGAAATAGAGGAAAGACGGCGTGATGAAAGGTGTGCGGTGTGAGAGGAAAGGCGGAACAGCTGAATGGCAAGGTAAGTCAAGATATGCATGGTATCCGCTTCACCAGTTCGTCCCGTCCCATAGCTCGCTCACCTTACTAATAATAAGGCATGCAACGACATGACATTGTAGCTCAAGGCCAGATGACAGGCGACTAGTCGCTTCCCAGTTGCATACTGGGCTATGTTATCCAGGTTCATCATTACTTGCTTCTGGATCAAGCGGAACAACATGCCTTGCTTAATAGGAAGGCGGGTGTTAACGAGCACTGACGTCGCCCATGTGTCTACCGAGAGAGGCTCGCAGATTACCGTCTCGCAAGAGCCCGAGGCTGGAAGAGAGGCGACGTGGAAAAGAAATTACAGTTACGAACAGCTTGAGGGGGCTCCCCTCTGTCCCAGCAGCTCGCTGCCCATCCCGGCCTAGTCTCGCTAGAACCCGGACCGCCGATTTGGTTGGCAATTTCGCCCCGGCTCCGGAACTCGAAAGGGAGGACATGAACAAGGGCGAGTCGCGAAAGGCCTGGCTGGAGAAGAAGCCTCACACAGCTTCCAGAATCCAATGATTCTCTGATCCCCTCCCGCGTCTCCGACTCCTCAGAGAGCCCCTCATCAGTATGACCAAACCCCCACATAGCTGGTCATCGACCCCTCCTCCTCTGTCGCTATTTGTGTCATTGTCATTGTATGGATACGATCTTGCGGTAAAGTCTCAGCCCATTTCACGTACCAATACCCAACATCCGTACAGCAAAGCGGATGGACAGCTGCTAATTGATTCTTGCCTGGGGTTCTGTCTGCGCCATGTGAAGCCGGTAGCTGATCGTGGAGTGCTGGTCGTGCTGGTCAAGGTTTCGAGGATACCCAGCTGGCAAGACCGTCTTGACCGTCCAACAGGATGGGATGGGATGGATGGGATGGGATGCTCTAACGGACAAGCTAGGATTAGCAGCAAGTTCTTGCCGGGCACCCCCTGCCTCGAGCCAATGGGCAGAGACCCCGTCTCCCGGTCCCCGGACGGTATACTAGGGCGGCCAGGGTGCGTCCGGTACTCGGACGATACGTGTCTCGACAAGCTACACTAACGCGCGCCGGCAGAATACATGCTTGTTCCCGTGGACGGAGACCCATCCTGTCACCCACGGCGGTGAAGAGAGGTATCCCTGTGTACCTCCGTCGTGCAGGTGGCGGACAAGTACGCGATCCAATACACGTGCACTTTGTGGGAACAAGCAGGGAGCAGCGTGCATAGTAGCTGAGGATGTCCTCCAATATGTGCACTAAGGTATCCTCCCAGAGTCCCGCTCCAAGGCCGACCCGCCGTTCTTCTCGCCGCGGGTCTCAGGCTGCAGCTCGCATGCACCTGTCGCTGGTGTTCGCATCGCGGAGGTGGGAAAACGGTTCTATGTCACAGCACGTCTG